TGAACTAGCTAGCTATTAAGTCACACCTCAGAGTTAGTGCCGAGCATAGGTTATCTTTTGGCTGTATCCAGGTACTTTGGTTGCTTCGATGACCTCATAACACAAACGACGTTATTACGGAAATATATCAATAAGAGTAGGCACAAGGAACAGAGTGCGACCACTTCTGCGTTGGTCAGTCCATGACATGAAGTTTACCGATGCGCGTCGACTGGTGAACTGGTAGATATTTGGTAACCCAACCCTTGGAATGATCTGACCAAGGCCCAATGACATTTCACTGGCTCTACAATATCAAGATTGTTTAGAAGGGCTATTCAAATGCAAAGATGGGTGAGTAGTTGAAGTGTACCACTTAAACATTGGCCTCAGTAGAAAAGAATGTCTGAATATTCATTCAACTTGTACTGTTTGTCCAAACGACCACATTTTATCATGTTCATTTTCCACTAAATCTACAAATACACACTCGATTTCAACCCCGCTACATCATATTGCAAATTTAAACGTCTTTCCTACCCACCTTCTAAATCATAAATTAATACGGTGACAAGTTACACAAATCCACCTAGATTAAAGACAGCTTAACATTGACATATTCAGGCCTATTATGATTTTGATTGTACCAAAAATACTCTGTTTTGTTTCCTGGTCCTACTTAAAGTAGTGCTACTTAATCTGTTTATTCATTCACCCCAAATGCGTGGTTTACATGAAGTCAGGGAACTTTAGAAACGCGATTTATCTACTCAACAAGATCTAATAAAAATAGATTTATTGTTGATTCTGTTTTGATTTAAAAAGCTAACTGTGGTAAGAAGTCTGTGCAATACGTGTTTATTGGTATCCAGATCACATGTAATAAGTGAAGGTCTTAGGTAGTACAGAACACTTTCTTTTCCATTTCGTGAAGAACCTACAGCTCTGGCTCCGAAATATATTGGTGTGCCACCAGCCTTTTTACAACATATACCGTTCATAATGGCGAGTCACGGTAGTTGGTGGGTGAACATGCGTAATAGTATCCTAAATATCTTCGTCGGTAAAGATGCAATTTTTACGGAGTACTCGGAGTTTAATCTCGCAGTTACTAAATCGAATATTTTATAACATCCAAGCAACAACTTGAATATACCTGACATAATACCAGCAACACAAAAGAACTCTATATGGTACAGTGAACTGACCTACACGATCACTTAGCTCCTTATCAAACATACAAAAAAGATCCCGTTATACAAGTCACAATATCCATTATAGTAAATAGGTATGTATTTACTGAATATAATTTAATGCTTTCGTTTTTCTTCTAATCAAATAACTTTTGATAAACGTCCACACATTTTCATCTGTTCTTATGTACCGAATGTTATTCTCGTCACTTGATCAGCATCCCTATAATAGCACTCAAACTCCAACAAACTAGCGAACTAGAGATCTAAAATAGCTTGCGTTCGACGACTTTATATTCCAGATTTTTTACACACTGAACATTAATTCTCTTTTCAAAATTTTTTTCGAAATACTCAACGGTTTGCTCAGAATCAGTTTTTACAATCGACATAACAACTTTTAAATGACCACCGCTTAATCTACTGAACCGCGTCCATTTTTCAGACAACTCATATCACAACACAATATGTAATGTTTTACCTGTTAAGATCTAATAGTCTTAATAACGAATATGGGATTCAAGCAACGAAAAATTGTTTCAAGTATGATGCGGATGTGACAGAACGAGATCATCGAAATGAAAATGCTTAAAGGCCTCGCTGGCCAACCTCAGAACACAAACTGAAATGCATTGACCTATTTTTCTCACCTTGCCACAGGTTATGGGGTGATTTAATACTGGCTTACATCACATTGAATGATTTTGGTGTCACTGTCTCATCCTTCCATCTAGGACTGATATTCAGAAACCGAGATCAGATAATTTGCGTTTGAAATTCCACTTCTCGCATCGAGTAGTGATTACTGGGATTATCTGCCAGAGCACATAATATTTGCACCTTCTGTTGATACATTTAGAGCGAGATTAGATCTCCACAGTATTACAAATCGCAAGGATGAATATGGGTTGTTTGAACCCTACCCTCACTATTGAAGACATACTGGCCATTTTAGACTTTGTGTTTATCATTTGTCTTCTCTCAGGAAGAGCTGTATATATGAAAAGAGCACAGCATTGTTTTGCCATGTCCAATGTGTGATACTGACAGTAATAGTTTCAACTTAGTCTATGACAAAAGTTTGTGTGCGGGAAGTACCTCATATATCGCCAGCAAATGTATCAAATGTTCGTTTCACATCGTCGTTTAACTCAAGAGTAGCCAGCTTATAAATAATTAATCACACTTTTGCTGAACTTGGATTTCAGGTTGTCTAAGTCGCTGGTGGCGGTTTCTTCGTGAAATATACTCTCCACATATGTAAATGTATATTTAAACAAATAACCCAGCGTGAACTTTGACTGCGACTTTAAAGCTACGTCCTCCGTTTCGCCAAAATGTGGTGCTTAGCGGGTTTTATTCAGATGATATTCTGACCCGACTTGTTTTGCAACTCAATGACATATCCAATCGTGTGGAATGTATTCTGAAGTGATGTGCACTGAATCGACATATAATAAAAATAAAGAACGGACAAATACACTTCCTAAATACTTTCATAGATGTTCTTTCTTCCTACTAGGTCAAGGAGTATATTAGTCGACTACTGCAAACGAAAAACGTTGAGCTGTAAGGGTTATTTTATAGCTCCAGCCATAATTTACGAGTGATTGCAGTAGATAGACTGTTCTCGATCTATCTGACAAAAAATTGGCTATTCCGTGGGTACATGTGGGCTTCGGCTCATAATGAGGATGTGGCAGCCCTTGTAAGCTACACAAACAACCGCGTGGCTTCACTTAGTTGTCGACAGAGATATTTAGTGAAGTGAGATGCATTTTTCACGTGCATAGATGAAATATGAGAATAACCCACAACAAAGGAGTAATTGCATTCAGGGTTTACCCTCTGAGATCCCCGAACTTGCACATCCTAGTCTGGAGCCTAATTCGGACCGCAACGAAAAAGTCCTACAACTGTCATGTTGGTCAATCGACTCATGAATTCAATTATTAAATTACTACAATCTTCACGAAACCCCTGTCTCATCAGTTGGTTAGCAGTAATTTGAAAATCTTATTCTCCTGTAATTTTACCGCTCTGGAAGGTACGAACAATTTAGAGATGTAAACTACTAATCCATTTACAATTTCAGTATTTTAATCGGAAGAAATACAGTTTACTTATTGCATTATCGCGTAATGACACTAATTTGATAAAGTGGGAATATTTTCAAGTCAATATCATTTAGGCACATGAAAATTAGATTTCAGTCTATCTGAGCAAATACTACACTGGTTTATTACAAGCACTGACACATGTTAACAGATCTACCAGCCTTTATCCTTAGAGCTATGTTGAATCAAGAAAAGATGAATTTCCAAACGTAATACCAGTTCCTAGTATTGTAACCAATCTTACAAACAATTGTCTTCATCACTATTCTAAGGATCAGGTTAAGAGATAAAATTGTCTCAACACATTCCTAGGGAATTTCGCTACTCAAAGTGATTCAGGTCAACCTTAATTTGTCAGGTAATTTAAAAAAACCATCGTGTAAACGACAGATCTAAGTTGATATTTATCAAGAAATCACCATTATTATAGTATTATCATTCCACTGTTTCACGCATTAATTTGCTACAAAAAGATTTAAATAAGTATTTATGTGATAAAAAACTGGGTTTTGCATATCCACATTGACTTCACAGCTTATTTCTAACGATTTTAGTAATTAACGTATAAAATCCACACACACATCCGGGAGTGACTTATGAGGCATATCTAATAATACTACTCGCCTTTTTTTATCGCTTTAAGTATATATAAATTTTGCAGGCGGAATTCCTACGCAGTAGTACACATGTAGAAGTGTAGAGCTATTAAATTCTAAGTAAATACTAATGATTAGAAAATCCCATGTTATTTTCAACTTGCTTTAAATACACTGACAATAGATAATAATGAACATCATAAATATTTTAAACTAGGTTCATGTTACAAATCACCAAAACATTCTGCTTAATAACAATTAAACAGAACTAAAAAAAGAGACAATACGCTGAACACTTGAGAAACTCATTATTTTAAATACCTAGAGAAGCAATATATCTATGTATATGTATATCTATGCATACATGCGTATGCATAATGAGTTTTGTTGGAAAAGAAAACGGAAGAGAAATGCATCAGATAGAAAGTGTTCTTAGACAGCAACGTATGGTTTTAACGTATAACAACTAAGATAAATCCGTGAACACAAACACACATATACAAACGTGTATATGTAAGAGGAGGAAAACGTGGAAAAAGTCAGGAAAATTGAAATAGGGAAAGAATTGAAAATAATTTGTTGAAAACGCTGGGACTGTGTTAGTTTTTTTTTTTCAAAAAAAATTCTAAATAGTTTAATCGATAGCTGGAAAAAGAGGACAACATACGATATGAACAGGGCATACTTTTTCATGAGTTATAATTCAGAAACGTACACATGAGGAGAAATATAAACGCATTATTATCATACATATTTTGGACTGAGTTAAGCACACAATAAATATACATTAAAATCGCTTGAAACACCATTTATTAAACAAGTAAATTTTAAAAGCAATATTTGTGAAGTTTTAGATACTTGGAGTAGAGAAAAGAATAATAGGAAAAGCGAATAATAATAATAATGTGAAATGCCCAGAAAGCAAACAGAAGATTGGATAACGCACCGAGTTGAAGTAAAAATAATTTGTAAAGGCGATTATCAAATAAAAACACACGCAACTTATATATATATATATATATATATATATATATATATATATATATATATATATATATATATATATATATATATATATATATATATACTGATTACCATACTATAGATACACAAAAGCCTGGAGAAAAAAGTAAAATCATTATTTACTGAGATCTAAAATAGCTTGACTCTCTTCATACTCTTTCGTACTATCATATTTATCCTGAGATTGATCAGCATGTCTACAAGATACAGTTTGTCTGGTATCTCCGGAATCCTGAGTTTCTCGCTCTGAACAAACAGAGCTAGCTATTTCAGAAGCAGGGGTAGGAGATGTTGGGAGTGGATGAATTCTATTATCTGGTTGAGTGCATGATTGTTGTTGAGAGCTTGAATGTTTAACAGGAGTAGACGTTGTTCCGATTCCAAGTGAAGAATTTGCCGCTCCACTAAACATTGACAAAAGAGCTGTAGTATCTATTTCTCCGGAATTTCCACAAGCAGACATCAAAGTTGAAGCTAAAGATGCGAGGAGTTGTTGAGAATCCCAGTGATTAGTTGTTTGGGTCGCTTGTCTTTGTTGCATTTGTTTAGCTGACAACAAGTAGTTGGCATACAAAGAAGCCAGAGTGGCTTGTTGTGAAGCAAAAGTGTTAGATGTCAAATTAACATTAGATGATCCGATATCAGGTGGAATGACTGACCCAGAACATGCTAACATAAGTTGACTATATAGAGCTGCTGCAGTTACAGGATTGCACATATAAGCCAGATTCATTGCAGCAGCCTGCTGATATACAGCATTTAACATTGAATCCATCCGTTGGTTACCAGTGTTTAATTGGAATGGATCTTGTATTGTTGGAGTACCACCACCGGAATTCCTCTCGGGAACAAATGGATATGCTTGACAATTGAGGGGGGTATCTGTCACTTCGACAGAATCACGTCGGCGACTAGAACTTTCCGAACGATTTCCTGTTGTAATGATGAAAAGTAAAAGAAAGCTACGAATCACAAAGAATATGAAACAGAAGAGACAATTTCTGCATGACGAAATAAGATTTAAAATAATTACACAATATAGGTTATATTTGAAAAAATAGCCACAAATTTAAGTGGAGACAAAATGAATTTAAGTCTTCTATTTCACTGATGGATATAAACTAATACTATTTTATTATCCGAAATAAAACTTAGATGCTATGTCACATTTACTAGAATAGCGTCTGAATTCACTTGAATAACACACCTGAGATCCATTTGAGTTAAAGACCGTCTTGGTCACTCGGAAATATTTATATATGAATATATATGGATAATATATGTGTTTCTACAATAAATCATGATTCGTTAAATTTAAGCTTACATTCAAGGTAGATAAGACGAAAACAACAGTCAATCACAAAGCAATCAAACTTAAAATAAATGAAAGGTTCAAAATGGCTGTCCAAGCCAAATTCATTCCAACCATAGCCAGTTATTCGATAATTAGTTTAACCAATGAGATACAAGAAAAAGGGACGATTCATCTGTGATTTATTTTATCAATTTGTAACTGATTTATGCTGAGAATAGATTTGACTGAGGACTCAACATGACATACTGTAAATACTTTATTCATATGATAGCGAAGAAAGTTGAAGTAACATTGCAATTTTACTGCTAGTCATAGTATATTTTGAGATCAAACTGATGAAAAGTTAAAACGGTTTATTGCGGATCACTTATATTTTAGTTTATTTGCATTCATCTTTTTATTCTTATCTTAATCTAGAATCAATACATAATTCAGTGAAGTATTAGTATAAGCAAAGCTCGACAAACCCATCATCATAGTTATAAAACGATATAAAACACAGACTGTCGATTGGTGTTTAATGGCATGAGCATTAAAGTAAGCTTTGTTGCTTTGTAACCAACATAATTATTTCACTAAGAACGTTGCCACTAGTATTAATTATTTTCTTTAAAGATCCATTTACAAAAAAATGATTATTTAGACGTTTACTAAAATACCATTTATAAGCCTCTCCTTCATGTACTGTTAACCTATAAACTCCTGGTAAGTGATCAATTTAATTTAACCAGAATACTATGCTATTTCTAATTATTTGATTATTTAAGAGTTTTCTTGACCAATCTTATACAGCTAAACCACTTAACAGGATACTTCACAAAATGATACATCGTAAGCAAGGTTTACATGTTTAGGAATTGAAAACTAATAACCAACTACATTTATGATCGATTAAAACTCATCCAAATAGGTATCATCACTAAAAAAGACTAAAAAGACCGAAATACAGACACGATAACAACTTGATAAAATATTTTTACCAGTGGAACGGGATTTCGAAGAACGAGATGTTGACGGTGCACAGCTCGTGGAGACGGGAACTCGTGATTTAGAAGTGGTAGTATCAGAGACAACTCCAGTACCAGAGGTAGCAGTGGATGATGATGGTGCGGAGGAAATGGACTGCCAATTACTTAAAGCAGAAGCGATCAAATTAGCGTATGCTGGATGACGAGCATAGGCGCCAAATGTATTTAATAACTGTTGTTGTTGTAAATATTGTTGTGTATTGAAACTATTAACCTGCGAGGCAACAACAGACGATGGAGAATTGGATGTTGTTACATTGTTATTGCCGACACCACTGCTGGTTGCTGCACTAGCCAGTAAACTATTTAGATAATGTTTATAGGCTAATGCCTCCATATTACTGGTATCTTGACCCCTAGCACTTGCAACACGATTATAGATTGCACGATCCTCCTGGAATATTCAAAAATATAAGCAGTGAAAAATATACACTACAATACTTAGAAAATTTAGGATATAAATTAGCGTAAGCTAATTGGTTTGTGTAGGAATATGGGACAGAAACCTAAAACCAGTTATACTGAAAAACAAGGTTAAAAATGTAAAGATGAATGATTACCACATCTAGTTAGAAGACTATTTTGTAAATCAATACACTACAAAGAATGATAAGAAACCAGGAATTATTTCTTTAAAAGCTTAGTTTAGAATTCCTTGATAGTGAATGGTCGAAATCAGTAGCAGTTAAGTCTTGAACAGTGTGTTATTCTGTAAGCCAAATTGACTGGTTTTTCTTCCAATCCCTTTTTCTTATTATTAGTGGTAAACCACTTATTTTCAGCATAATCTTTATTTCTTCACACTTTGATCTTGATGTGCTAAACGCACAACATAAGAACTTTTAAGCTTCACATTACCACATATGTTTCAGATATAAAAAAGCCCTCAATCAGTTGCAAGTGACAAAAGTGTATATGTTCAAGTTGTCATTTGACAGAAACAATCTTTTAACAATAACCTCTAGTTAAAAGAAGCGAATATCACATCTTAAAATACAAAAATATATTCAGTATAAAAAATAGTGAAAAACGTTTCTCATATTTTAGAAGAATCTCCAAAGCTGAAAAATACTATTAAGAGTATCCTTTTATCCATTAATAGTTAAGAGCTTTCAGTCTCCCTTTCCTTTAATAGCAATAACATGATTATGACTTAATAATAAGATTATTAGTTGATATAGTACAAAGTTCAAATACGAAATTGTTACTCATCCTCATCTTAATAATTGAAACATGTAAAAATCTAAAAGTAGATTTGTTAACTATATACACTGTGAGATCATATCAGTGAGTAAAGTTTAAGATAGATAAAACAATTTTACTCTTCACTAAACACAGTAAATACCAATTATGAATAAAAGATTTTCTCACTTTATTACAAGAAATAATACAACAATTGACTTATAAATAATTTAAGAACGGTTATAAAATTATTCTAAACAGAACCGCTTACCACCTCTACTGAATATGGCATATAATTTGGATTTGCATCCAACCAAGATTCTAGTGATCTTCGTTCAGGAGCTTTATCACCATAAATTAAAGAACCATCAACTAAACTAATTACTGGGACACGTACATCCCAAATGTCAGAACTAACATTCTGAGAAGCTTTCTGTAAATCATTATTGTTCGACTCAATTTTAGATGAACTGAGACGTTCACGTTTAGAACTGTAAGGAACTTTTGTAAATGTTGAATTTGAATCCGATGGAAGTTTAGAAGTATCACTTTTTCGTTTACGTCCACGATTATTCGTTCCAGAAATAGAGCGTGGTGCAGATGTCATACTGGGTGGTGGCATTGAAAAGTCATTGTCATCAGATACTGGATTACTGGCAGAAATCGACAACGATTTGGAACTTTGTGAAAAGTGTTCTGAATTTGAAGTTGTATCACGAAATGATAAGGTTTCTTGATCAGAATCAGAATTGGTTTGACATTTATCACGACTAGTAAACAAATTTTTGCCAAGTGAATTAGATCGATTACTTCGATTGCGAATTCGACCACGGTTTCGATCAACCAAAGTATTCTCGTTCGTGGGATTAGAAATAAAGGGTAACTGAGTGTCATTTAGATTTAATGGAATGTTGGCAGACGTAGAAATATTCTCATCAGGATCCGTCGGTATGGCGGCTGCCGACTGTGTCTCAGTAGAATAGGATTGCAAGGACGCTGACTTACAGTGTGATGAATTAATATGCCTCTCACTCATAGAGAAATCGAATTGTGGTGAATCGTCAAACTCATTATTCGTAACCACAGATGATATATCTGTTAAATTGGATAACTTCAGGTCACATGTTGAATCAAGTGAATTAGAGGTCATTTCAGAAGAAAAAACGGGTAGACCATACTGTTTTCGAGGTAATGAAACATGAGAGGCATTCATTGGAATTCTTCTAGAATTACTAGATGACAAGGAATAACTGTCACGGGATAATGACGATGAACTTCGATAACTTTGAGGGAATACACTATTCAAACCAGTAACTTTTGACTCAGAATGTGAGCGAGTGGAATTTGCCATAGATGATGAAACTGAAATTGCAGTGGTAATTGGTGTAATGAAACGACGAGGATTCGGCCATTCGTTAGTCTAAAAACAACACATTAAAAATTCTGGTGAAGTTTTTTTTAGTTAAAATATTACATGAAATGACACATTCCTGAATAAAAATATTCATTAAGATAATCATTTTGTAATTTAAATGAAGAATACTTAATAACTGCCTTCTAATTAAATTAGTCAACTAACACTAGAGACAACAATAATTTTAACACATCTAAAGCTATAAATTCTGATACAATTTCAAATTTTTATTATTAAAAGATGATTACTTTCAAGTCATTTAGAGTATAGTATCCAGTTCTTTATGGACAAGGAACTACTGAAATAGATAAGGTTACATTGTGTTGTGCATGCATTATTTGTCTTCGCCCAAATTCTGACATTTTAAATTCCTCATAACATTTTTTATTCTTATTTCACTCATTTATATTTCCTCAAATCGTATCTTCCATGTCTAAGCTTTTCAACTACCACTCATACTGTTACTATTCTCTACTATTCTGAGATTGGGCCTGACAATTTCGTCTCTCTTAGGTAGTGGGTTATGGTAAACTAAACCGATGCACATACGTACTAGGTTCTACTTTGTGACTGACTGACTGGATTAAGCAACTCCAAAGATTCAGATCTATCAAAGGTCCACTCTAAGCAAGTTGTTGAAATCGACTAGACACAATTTCATAAGTATCCACAAAAGTGTAACACATGATTCGCAACATTTCGACAATTGTTAAGGGAATCAATATCTTTATGTTTTGTGGTAAGTTGAAAACTTGAAGTACATGACCAAGATAGAAAAAACTTTGTTTGATAAAAACAAAATTTACCAAGATTTTATGCTTTTGTTTATAAACAAAACAGTTGAAGACGAATAAGGAACTGAGTGTGACAGCCCTCTAGTTACGTAAATTAAGAAAGGCGGATAGGTATGTAAGAACGCGTGGTTGTTGAGAACACTATACCAAAAGAGTAGATACAATATCAAGAATTCCTACAAAACAATTGAATATAACAGCATCTTACTTCAACAGTTTGACAAATGAGTTCTAAGCGATGTTGAATAGTCCTGTCTTTAGGCCATGAGATCGCCAGATTAGTAGCGAATTTGATAGACCATTCAGCAACGGTCGAGTCAGATCCGACTTTAATGATATCAGTGCTGTTCACACCATCAACTAAGGAAGCAGAATTTGAAAGAATGTAAAATTCTTAAGATAAATCAAACATATTAAAAATAATACAAAGATGAAAAACGGAAATCTGTTGGGAATTCGGAAAGTAAAACATTTTGTTGATCACAAAACAAACTGTTCATTTCTCTACATAGACATGGTAATTATTATTTGTTTTGTAATAATTAATAATAAAGAATTATTTTGATATGCAGTAACCAACGCAGTGATGATTACAAAGAGAAATTTGTTAATGGCTATATTCCACATCAGGAGTAATTAGCTTTGTTTTGCGAAATCGATTAATTTAATAACAGTAGAATTACAATGACATCTTAATAGGGTTTAACAATTAATTAATAATACTAATAATAATAAACAATTACCTTTGAAAATATTTCGGGTATAAGAATACTTAATTATTTAAAGTTTAATTTACACTTAATATAATATAGGTAGAGTAATCTAATTTCCTTTAAATAAGGTGGAACACTGAGAGTACATGCTTTACACACCTTGGGTTACAAACTCAATGCGTAAATATAGAGATATGCGATGTACTAGGCGTTCAGTGAAGTATTTTTTTACAAATGATTACAAAGAATATGAAATTAATAAACAAACAGCTAAACACAGATACATAGAACAAACGAAATTAAATACCTGAATGATCTTCCTTGATAGTGACTTTGACATTATTTTTTTCATTGACAATATGATTCATATCTGATGATAGATCATTCTCAGTGTTATTCACACCAAATGGAGTTGTAACATCATGTGTGACAACAATTTCAGAAGTAACAGAATCTGCTTCATTGTCATCTTTAATAGTGACAGGATCTTGACAATTTGTAGAAATCATCGGAGAATAATTTTCTAATTGATTGTGTTCTAATTTATCTGCTACATCAACTTTTTCTACATTTAGTTCAGATGACGGTATTTCAGAGAGATCAGGACTTTCTTGTTCTTCTGCTCTTTCTTCTTTCAATAGCTGAGCTGCAGCTGAACGAGCTGCTGACACAGCAGCTGCAGCTATACTTGATCTACTTGATTGATTAGCATTCAAATCGCCTGGATAATCTGTAACAGCTGGATCATGAGCTAGTTTGTCACGAATTAACTGAACTATTCGTGCAAAACTCGAGTTCGAATCTTGAAGAATATTTAGATCAGTACGAGCTAATCCATGCCTGTCACCAAAAATAAATAAAACTTCAATATTATGTCCCAAAATACAAACACTAGAAAGTAATTTTTCATAACGATAATTCTCTTCTCTCTGGATACACTTACATAATATCACTCGATAACTGAAGAAAAAGTTAAACCTAGTTATTATCTGAACTATTTAATCAAATCAATCATCGAATTGCATCCGACTAAGTTTATACGAATATTCGTCAAGATTAGAACGAATAGTTTGACAGTAATTGAGCGCCGAGTACAGAGAAGTCATTATATGTGAAAATTATATTTGAAATATTCTCAGCGATTGAAATTTAACTAATTCCAACGTTTCGTCCAGCTAACTTATCAAAGCTTTGATAATTTTGATTTTGATTATTACCCTGAAGAAGTCCAGACAAGTTAGCTGGACGAAACGTTGGAATTAGTTAAATTTCAATCGCTGAGAATATTTCAAATATAATTTTTCACATATAATGACGACTAAGTTTATGTTTATTGCTCAACTTCAATAATTATCTTCACATAAAAGCAAGGAGTTCGTACAAAAAACATTTTCTAGACTGATTTAATTACCGATGATATATTCACTAATAATAATTTGATAACCAATAGAGAAATACATTAAAGTCCGAATAGTGTTCACAACTTTACGGCAAAATCCAGTCTTATTATATACGAAGTGTATCTTTAATAAATTGGTACCGATGGGCATAAAAAAATTATCCCTTAAGAGGTGAAATAGATAGAAGGAAAGTGTAATAGTCCTAAAGTACAATCACACAGGATTTCGTGTCATTACCTTAAAGTTTACAAAGTAATTTTTATGGATTAACGTGTATTCACCTTAATAAACTTATGAAAAGTGCAAGAACAAAGATTCTAGCAGAATGGCATGAATTCATTTTATTTCGTAGGTTCTCGACAACTGCTTACAACCTGTGATATTTAAAAATCATAATTACATAATGGGTTTAAATTGCTTACTGAATATGTCAGGTAGATACCTTACAATCCTTTAGGGTGATTAGTAAGCAGCCAAACTCCAGTCTTCTGAAGTTTGCTGAAGCTATTGCCATCAGGCGTCAAAAACCTGACCTATGTATTCAATAGGAGACGGTGGTTAATTTTTCTTTGCCCTGGTGACAAATATTCCTTCACTGCACCATAAAATTTTCTTTTGCATTTATTACATCATTGACTCTATTTTATTTTTTCAACTATCTTTCAATCTAACAATCATTCAACTGAACTCTACTCACTATATTCCTATCAATGTTTATTCATTATGTAATCAATTGTTCCTAACCCACTCTTGAACTGTTGTCACAATTAATGTTGTAGAATATTCTTTCACATTAGGTATATATTTACAATATTCAGTTAGCAATTTAAACCCATTATGTAATTATGATTTTTAAATATCACAGGTTGTAAGCAGCTGACGAGAACCTACGAAATAAAATGAATTCATGCTATTCTGCTAGAATCTTTGTTCTTGTTTTTTTCAAAATGATAAAGGAAACTATGTGTATGAAAATTAATAAACTTACTTGAATTATTGAATTGAATTAAAGTTATGAATTATAAAAAGTAATTTTTTAGACTAAATACATGAATTCAAACCACGAAGTAAGTAACGCTTGGATTAGGAATAGAGTACTGGGTAAATATAGGAAATCGATTGATGGAGTAGTATATCCTCTTCAATTGAGGTGCTTGAGATGTGTTATGCATGCCCAATCATGCCTACCTAGACGGACAATGTTTTCTGATGTAAGAAAACTGGGAGTGGGCAAACCTAAACATGGCATCAGTCCACGAAGTCACCGACAATTGGACTTAGCCATGTTAATAGGTGTAAACTAGCTGGTTGGGGTCCGTGTGATTATCATGACTAATGGTTAGATACTTGCACGACATGGTTCGAAATCGTTTACAGGTGCATGCATTCTTTGTCTTCGCCCAAATTCTGACATTTTAAATTCCTCATAACATTTTTTATTCTTATTTCACTCATTTATATTTCCTCAAATCGTATCTTCCATGTCTAAGCTTTTCAACTACCACTCATACTGTTACTATTCTCTACTATTCTGAGATTGGGCCTGACAATTTCGTCTCTCTTAGGTAGTGGGTTATGGCAAACTGAACCCATGCATATACGTACTTGGCTCTACTTAGTAACTGACTGACAGAATTCAAACTATGAAATGTAGTTAAGAAAGAATAACATCTACCTCCATTTTTTATCAACTTACTTTGCTGCGGCGAACAACAATTCTTTGTCGTGCTTTCCAGGTATCCACCAACCTGGGAGATCAGAACTAGATTGACATAATTTAAGCCTTTCCTCCAAATCAGGATGTTGTAGAATGTTATTCCGAATACGTACTAACAAATCTATACGTGACAAACAACGACTAGCACGCTCTTCAGAAATAGGATCAATCACAAGTTCACAGCCTAAATCGCTTGATCCCGATGTTGTTGTAGTAGCGATAGTGGAAGCAGGTTCTGCAAAGACTGAAAATTTATAATTACATTGATTTTAATAAAATATAACTCAAGGTATTTAAATGAAATAATAGAACAAAACTGAAGGAGCTAACAAATAAATTATAATAATGGGGAAAAACAGTCAACCTCTAAACGGAGGACTTACTCAGGCACAAATACTCTATTTGAGTAGATGAGAGGATTCTGAAAACGTTATTTATATATAGCAATATTGAAAAAATGTTAATTCCTAGTAGAAACCTAACATTAAGACACACTCTGCGATTGTAATACACCAAAATTAGTGCACAAAATATTTATGGCCAATATCGAGAAAATAGGTTTGACATTTGAATAATGACTAACTAGGTTATGAGGAATGACGCAACATTCGAAGTGAAAGCTAAGTATTATTCACTATGTGAATGATGAAACAATAAAGCACAGTTTGATCTGCATTTATAGTGAAATAAAAAAAGGAACGTTAAGTACCAGAAAATATTCAGTTTTTGTGGACAGAATAAGATAAACGTACCAGTAAGTTCTTTTTTGCAGACGCGTTGACACATTCGATAAAAAGCTTGAAAGTATTCAACTAGCGCTTGGTCAGATTTCCGACCTAGATTACCAAGTTGTCGGAAATTAATCCAACTATATATTCTTGGAATTGGTGGTTTCGATGACGGCCTTGACTCTTCATCGATAACATCAGTAGTGTTTGATTTCGAAACTTCATCAGTATCTGTTGTTGGGGGAATTTCAGTAAATTCCACACCAAAGCTTGATACTACACGATAGAAGTCGGCTTCTTCTCTACGCGTCCATTTTCTAAATCACGGCGGAAAAAATTAGTGAAATGACACACAAAAAACAGAGATTTAGCAGTAAACTTACATATCTACGCTGGGCGTAATGCTTTAAAATGCTTAAATGTGCGGTAAACACTAGTAAGTTTACGTACTTATCAAAGGTGATATTGATCTAGTCTCAAATGTTTAATACTTTATGTTAACCGACGATCTGAACCGATTGCATTTGTAATTATTTCATCATGTATTATCAAGGGGAACGCTTTTATAAGGTGTATCTGTTTGATAGACATAGGTCAATAGTTTGGGCGCTAAACTCATTATTAAAAGAAGAGTTTAAACTATAAATCTTTTACGTTTAAGCAACAAAGCAATGCTACAGTCTTCCATATATTTAAATGGTGGTTATAAGAAAAGTATAATGCTCTACAGCTTTTATTTATATTACTTCATGTATGCGCAAAATATATACTGAAAGTAAAGGATATGCGCAAGTCTTTGAATAATTGATAGCATAACATAAAGTTAAGAGTGAAACAAGATTTACAGTACACTGACTATCATAATATACCGTTCACAGAAAAACAAAGTGCTAAAAACAGCTTGGATATAGTCTTATGATAAGACTTTACATAACATTGCAGTCTATGAAATAGTGATCTGCAAAATAACCAAAATCCTTGTATGCAAACTTTGAGTGATACTGCTTATAACCAATTACAGCTACATATACACACTTATTCCTTATCTTATTATGAGTATCAGATCTTTGACTCGTTGTTTCTGACTCAATTCTGTTTTCCAGTTATTCACTTCAGTTAGCATTAATTTTGCTCTTTTTAGGTAGTAATGTAAAAAATGACAACTTACAACGATACATATTAGTGTCAATTCATATCATGTTCTCAACTCTCCGTAATTCATAATCTACTGTGACAAACTGAACACGTCTGTTTGTTTGGCAGATATAAAACAGAAAAAAAAGTGGCTTATACAAATTTAGGGGTTTCGATTCACGCCACACTGTGGAATTTCTAAATAGCAAAATTTTGTTCTCCATGGTTAGCTGTATCTATGATTAATAAAATATTTTCTTCAAGTGAATCAAATACTTTATATTACGCAGATGTACTCATTTCCTAGCTGTATTGTTTTGAATCAGTATCTCAAATATTTGAAATCAACTTATTTATCCTACAAAAGGAATAACTGAATGAATAAGTTTCTGTTATCAGATGGCAGGTTTATGTAGATTGGAGTTTGAAATAGTGTTTTTTCACCACTTATCTTTAGACAAGGATAAAGAAGTGATAATACATCAAAATCACGAGTATTATTCGACGATAGCAAAAATGAATTCGGAGGGAAAAAATTATAACACCACATGGTGTTTACCAACCTGAGAAATCAATTAATAAGTTCAAGATATTTCAATAATAAAAACTAAGCCAGTAAATTTAAGCAGCTTTGTAAACGTAAATACAACACACATCATAAATCCAAATCCGGATATGAGGTTCGATTCTTAAGTTAAATTAATTGATAAAAAATATTCATCCAAGAAAACAAAACAATGTTTCCATCTCAACTTTATAACACAAAAACCCCCAGTCGTTATTAATAAAAATAATATGAAATAAAACTTCTGTCAGAATTACAGATACACCTATTTTATATAAGTAGCAACTATTAAAATAACCTAGATCTATATTTCCCTATCTACCATTGTTAGCAACTTAAATTTGAGTTTATGAAGTGAAATGTTTAAATAGACACTATGGATTGTTCTATTTAAAAGTATTAATCGTAAGATCGAATTATTTGCTCCGTTAATACCCACAAACAATCGAAGTTAATATAAAAGAAAAAAATAAAACAATTAACTTACAAAATTTTTGGTTCTGAAAGTTTTACAACAGGTGAACATGTTACAGACTCTTCAACTTCAACTTTAGGGATATGCTGAAATGAGACACATAATATATTAAATGAATCAGTGAAGAAAGATTACATTGTAATATACTGCTGATTATTGATACTGTTCACAAAGTTTTACTAACATTACAAGTGTATAAGATAAAATGTATAAAAGGGCCTAATGATTAGGAGACTTTTAATTAGTTATCTGGATAATCTCATTGAATTTTGAATTTATTATCATAAAATATAACTTATGTATTGTTCAATGCCACTCAATGGATGACGGTCACTTTGATTGTCTAAAAAGTAGCTTTATGAAATCATTTTCTGAGAGATGTGATTATCCACATGATTCAAATTTTTTAGTAAAAATTACAAATAAATAATTATTTAATGGAGAATTATAGAGATCTGTATGGTTAGCATCGACTGAGTAGTTATTATTACTACGTGGGAATCTAGTCAAAACAGTATGAATAAGTAGTTTCAAGCGTCATCGAAAACGGCTTAGAACGGAGATTCATGGTAAACCTACAGCTGTTTCTTAATACATCCTCAATAAATCATATAACTGATTGTCAGTCAAACTGATGAAATCTATTTTAATCATGTTATTAGTAGTTCTGTTTTGTTTTTTAAAAAAAAACACAATCATTTTTGGCAATAGCTTTCTTACTTATACTTCATCGCGATTATAACATTTCATTTTTCCTGTGATGAATGGTATATAAACGGTTGTAGTGTCATAATTAAATGAATAAATGAACAATGAATTTATTTGGATATACTTATTCATGACAATCAGCTAGGATCTGGATCAATAAAAATTCCAATTTATCAGTATGAGTAAAACAAATACGCTGATTTTTATTAAAAAATGCCCCAAATGCCCTGGTATGGCCAAGAGTGGAATGGGGCCGCCCTCCCTCTCAAAATGCTTTCACACGGCCACGCGTATACAGCCTCTGCCAGGAAAGTTATACTCACTGCCTTCTTGTGGTAGGGGTGTTGTTTACGAAATTGAGAGGACGAAAAGCGAATGTCCGGCACTTTAACCGGATTCCAAATCAATGGTGCACATGGGCTCCAGTATCCTGCGGGAACAAATGCCATATGAACAAATCGTTGGTCACCGGCTACCATGGGAATGCATCTCCTTACGATGCTACACCGCCTTGTGGATCAGACCTGTAGGTCAAAGGCTCAGGGTGTGGGCCCTAAGATAACCACCTGCTTCGGTCTGGGCACCCGGGCAGTATCACAGCCCACACACACAAATATGGTGTGGCGCATATATATTTGGTGCCCTCTTGTACCAATATTTATGTGTTGAAATAGAATAAAAATAAAAGAATACACTAAAATCAATAAAATAAAATCTGAAAATGTTTTTTTTAATGAGATTCATATAACTTAAAGTAGAAAAGTTATGGCTATCAGTTGTGGTTCCAGAAAGTAATAAAGTTGACACTGAAATAAAATCGTTTATTATCACAATGTTTAGATTTATTTAAAACTAAGCAAATGATATAAAATTAAGTTATTGAACTAACTCGAGATGAATCAGATTCTAGTTGACTTTTGATGCGTTGGAAAAAACCAACAAGTTTTCTAGCTCGAGAGTTTAAATCTGCAAGTTGAGGAAATGGAGAGCAGCAAGTAGAATATCATCTGAAATATTGTTATCATTATTCGAGGTATCCATTAGTGGAACAGATGATACATCTTTTTCAAGCGGCTTATAAATATTGTCTTCTCCTAGGTTGTGTAATTTATTATCATCCACCTCTGAAACTTTCACATCATCCATAGCTGTGTCAACATTCTCTGAAGTTGTTTCAGGAACAACTAAGGTGAGAGGATCACAGAGTGAAAGAACATTTTCTTCTGGTTTACATTCAGTTGTATCATCAATTTTAATTAAATCCACTTCAGTCTCGTAGTCAACGTTCGGACTTTTTGCAACCACCCCTGATTCACCAAGATTACTAGAAATGACAGAAATAAGAGTAGATAAGTGCAACCAGTTTTTAGCAATCACAAGGAGTTGCTGAACAGTAATAACAAATGATCGAATATCCTTTGGCATCGTAATAATAGCATGGAAAACACATACACGTAAAAACACATTTAGAGGAAATCCATAAGATCACTTGTCTGTTTATATATCAGAAAGATTATTACGTAGTCTATGTAAAAGTTTATGGATATCATACAATCCTAATACAATTCAGATAATATACCCCAAAGGTATTTAGGTTCAGTTATATTTACCACAATAGCATGTAACTTGACTTAGTGGTTTAAAAACCTTTTCATGATCACGACAGTTCGATAAATATTATGAATTAGAATGGTGGGTTACACCGTCGATTTTCCGGAAAGATGTACTATTTCTAGAGGACTAAAAAAGTACTAAAACGTTTTTTTTTATATTTAAAACTAGAGGCATTACTATATATGGACAACAGTAAGCTACTATTAAACTTTATGAACCTTTATTAGCTAAATACAGCCAATAGATTTTTAAGTGTCTTCCAGTATTATTATGGACATAGATTGAGGAGATAGTCAAAATATTGACTGAGGTATTTCACAGAAAACGTATAACCGTATACAAAAAACTATAAAAACTTGTAGTAATGTTACGCATAATAGGCGAGCCGGTTATGTCATAGTTATTATGGTAAGTGTAAACGACTGTAAATTATAAACTAGAAACTACAAGATAATGATCGTGGTTAATATCTATGTAATCTAATAAAACGAACTAACTTCTTCATTAAACCTTCTAATACAGTTGGAGATTGAGATTGAACAATTTCAACAGCACGAGAACGGAAGCACAGCTTAGGGTCTAAACGAATTGCTGTATATTTTTCCCATCCATGTTTCATAATACCAAGTAGTAAACATTTGTCACAACAGGCATCCCACCATGGAGCAGGTAAATCTGAATCGAGAGCTAAGAGAAAAAAATGGCAACGATTTTAAACCTTTATAAATTGAGTGTAATAAGCAATTACAGACGGATTAAAATAATATAATAATTGGGAATGAGGAGGGCGTAATATTACACAGCGATAGTTTAAGCATTACTCTTGATACTGGAAATAAAATAAACGATAAATTAGAAAATGTGATCTCACGTATACGCAAAATTCACTTATAAAAGAAAAATGAATAAACCTAACAGAAATGAGCATTAGACCACGTTGATACATCTGATATCAGCGAAGTGACAGGAATTCATAAAATGATGAGAATTAATAAACTATTCATGAATACAGTAAAGGAAACTTCTATAATACTGATTGTCATAATAACATTAAATTGAATAATGAAACAACCCAGTTAAAGAAAAGAAAGTCACCTTGAATGACTAAACAATAAATATGCGATTAAAGAGTTGAAAGTATACTTCCTAACCGCTTAAATCTGAATAAAGTGACATTTTTTAATGATAGTCAGATTATCGATGGAGTGATCACCATCCGGATATCCAGTTAAAACGAATTATCACTGAATCCCAGGTCTTAGACGTATTAGATTGTTATTGCTGAATATCAGAAATTTCAGGTACAAGTTGACACGATAAAATATCAATAAATATAGCATAAATTCCAGAAGATAAGAGCGTACAGTGGATAAGGTTGCAACAAGACATCAGCAACACGAGTGAAGACCATGGAGAATAAATTAAAAAATACTGACGAAGAGGATTAGAAAAATGACAGATTAACGTAGGTAAAGTGAACCATAGAATATTTATTTATTTGAACACTTTACCATTAGTACAACAAGGCACAAAATACATATGCACCACACAATAATGAGGTTGTGAAGAGATAAACAATGTAAAGTGAGTGTGATAAGAGAACAACAACAATAATGAACAGAAATTAGTGTGTGAAAATGAAATGGTAATAAAATAATGGGAGAAACAGTTCAGTTAGAAAAAATACAACGAGAAAGAATTCTTCTAATTACACGAAGTTCCCGACTACTTTTATCTTCTCACTACTCAGGGTGAGTGCAGGATCAGGGTCCTGTCAGTCTTGTAGAAGGACTTTGCACTTCGAAGTTGCAAAGCACATGTCATACCTACAGATACTGATTCCCAACTGATGAAGTGCGGATTGGATGACTTGGGTATTGTCGTTCAGTGAGACAATACTCAAGATCGAAAGGTACTTTTCCGGACAACAGATCCACGCCAGCATATTCTACATCCATCAGAGCTGTTTCTAGGACGTTCAGTTAGAAAAAATACAACCAGAAAGAATTCTTTCAATTAATGAAGTTACGTTCACTTTTTATGAAGAGAGTCACTATAGGATCGCTACTGGCTTCTATTCTGAGCCATATCTGGTAACGTCTTAAGCCGCTGTGTTGTACCATCTCTAGAACCCCAATCAAGGAGTCGTGAAGGACCAACAGAAACGAGTCTTGTACGGTTTCCTTTCATATCACGACAGCATGTCAGGCATTGATAACTTCTGCAAGTTTCCCAACTAGTCCCAACGTCGGCAAATAATGCACGACGTGGGATTCTGTGGGATGACATTCGTAGGACATGTCCAAGCCACCGAAGTCGGTTTCTCAAGATGGTGACCGTCGATGTACCCGAACACACGTTGCTGAACTCTCGTTACTAACATGGTGTTACCACTGAATGTCATTAGTCCTCCGGAGACAATGATGATCAAACGCAGAGAGTCGTCCAACACCTTCAACTCGGAGAGGCCAGGCCTCACAAGTGTTGTAGATCCGACATTTTACAGTCAGACTAAAATCATGAAGGCGTCAAAGATAACCCAGATTGGTAAAAGCCGATCTGGTTTCACAATACCTGAACTGATCTCACCACTCACGCCACCATCAGCACTTACACAGCTACTAATGCTGTGTTAAGAAAGTATGATAAGATAAAATATTCACAATGACTATGAGACCATTTGAGCGATCGGTGAACTGTTTGCTGAATATATATATATATATATATATATATATATATATATATATAGAATGAAAAAGCTCGGGTAAACCATGGAGATGGGCTGGATGAATACAATCTTATGATGTTCAGATATCGAAGTAAATGACTAAGTCGATCATCAATTATCGCGTTTCAATAATGTTTCGTAAACTTATTCAAAAACGTATGCTCAGAAAAAATACGTAGAAGCATTTTCAATTCTTTAATAAAAGTATTTAACAGCCTCTATTAACAATTCAAACAGTAACTGATATCAAGTCATATAAACAGGTTTATGAACCGGATAATTTATGTGACTTCAAAATCCCAAAATCAATAATGAGCCTGTAAAAATGCATACCTTATATAAAGATGCTATGTGTCGAAAAACTGCCAGGAGTCGTGAAAATCGAATGCCGTTTTCAGAGAAAATTATGTATGATAATAATTCAGTAACAAGCAGAAAATTAACACACATAAAAATACGAATATGGATGGATAGGATAAGCTACTAAAAATGTCAAAACGTAAACAATTCCCTGAAAATAATTTATGCAGAAGATAATAAAAACGGTCTACAAAATACCTTCTAACGGAGGTAAACTTGATGCTAACTCATTGAAATCAGTGTGACTTAATTTGGACGAAATCAAATCTTGAGCAGGATTTATGCCAATAATATCACATTGTAAAAAGAATAGAAGAGCGACACGATTCAAAAGCCTAGCCCCAGCTCTTTGAACATGCTTTTTGAAACTTTCAGATGGTAGTAGAAGTTCGGGTTTGAATGCCGCAACTTGAAATGGAATAGAAAAAACACGCAACAACAATAGAACAGATGAGTTTTATGGTTATATTGATTACGAATAAAAATAGTATGAAGATATTGAATAAAGAAATCACTTATTGAAATTATATTGAAGCAAAAAACAATTAGAAGTAGATATTGAGAAAACTAGGTTATAGTCACTTTTGACCTTAATGCATATTTATTACTATGAAACAGATATACCAAAGCTTCTATAGACCTCAGCAATCATACAATCTGAATCATGTAATTGCTATATTTTTAATGAAGTGAGGAATAAAAAAAACAACAGTTTATTGACGTTAAACTTACGTCTAGGAGATATTTGGGTTTCTTCTATTTTGATAGGATTCTCATCATCAATATCATCTTCATCTTTCTCAGGAATTTCATTTCTTTCAATTGGTTCACATGATTCCAATTGGGTATTGCATTTAACCATATTATGCACAATATCTGTATCGTCTGCAGTTAGTTTCACTGTTGCAGTATTTAATGGATCAGTTGATGAAACATCATCTACTATTGGACTGCCAACCGCATTATAATCACTAGGAATGGGAGAGTCTAAACAACGTTTATTCTCAGTTAACAACTCGGAAGATGACATGTCATCTTTCCTGTTCACTTTTTGTTCTAGCATTGGTGTTTGACCTTCAAAGTTTTCAACATCGATATTAAGAGATATAGAAGGGGCCATACATTTAATTTTAGCGGTGGCTTCTGAAACAACAGTATTCACCTGATGAATATCAAGTTTCCATGTACCAGGACGAGCAAGAGTTTCACAGATAGCACGTGTGCGAACATCTGAATTTGGTGGTAAACACTGTAAAGTATAGTCCAATAACGCACATGAAAAATATGCCAATTCAGATGGCAGCATAGTTCGTTTAAAAGTGACAGATGAAATTGCTTGCTCCCACTGACCCCAGGACCATGTGAGTAAACAACGCTCAACTCGAAAAAGATCAGCTCGATCAAGCGGTTCAATTACATTTTGATTACTTTCGATGCATCCATCAGGTTCTTTTGAAACAAGGGATTTTTCCTGCTTGATGTTTGGAGTTGGTATTGACTTTCGTGAATTGCGAGCAGCTCGTCGATTCCGACGGGATCGAATTCGACCTGATGAACATTGAATAACCGTTTCATCACCAGAACTGTTTGAGTTTGCATTATCATCGAAATCAGACATGTTAAAGCTAGCTGGACTTGGAATGTTAGAAGGTTCATTAACCATCATTGAAGAATAACGATTCGTTTGACGGCGTTGACGTGGAGTTTGGACTATTAGATCCTACAAGGAGTCAGAACATAAAGTTAAAACTGGTTTCCGAAGTGACGCTGAAATACTACAGAGACTATATATTCTTAGAACTAAACTAAATTAAGAAAAGACAACTATTACTATATCCCACCTAAAAAAACAAAAACGAGACCTACTTTCATGGCTAGTGCTGTTTCATCGACTCCAGCTTTTTTAGCCCATTTCTGCCAGAAATTCGGATCGTCTAATGCAATGTCGCTTCTGTTATCTGACATTGAAAATGTCGCCTGAAAAAAGATTGCAAAGTAAAAAAAATTAGTAGACAATGAACAAGAAGAATAGACTCTAATTATTCGATTAGTCTTTAGGAACAGACAAAAGGTTCAGCATTTTAGCCATTACTTTTCGAATTTATTAAAACAAAAATACTGGTAGATGGAGATTATTATTATTTGAACACATAGATATGGGTACACGAAGGCACCAAATACATATGCGCCACACAAATCTCATTTGATTTGTGTGAGAGCTGTGATACTGCCCAGGTGCCCAGACCGAAGTAGGTGGTTTTCTTAGGGGGCCACACCCGGAGCCTTCGACCCAAAGGTCTAACCCACAAGGCAGTGGAGCATCGTAAGGAGATGCATTCCCATGGTAGCCGGTGACCAACGATTGGTTCATGAGTCATTTGTTCACTCAGGATACTGGAGCCCATGTGCACCATTGGTTCAGAGACACCGAATACATATGCGTCACACTTCATTCGATTTGTGTGAGAGTTTGGATATTTGCCAGGGGGCCAAACCGAAGCAGGCAGTTTTCGTAGAGGGCAACTCTCCGAACCCTTGACCTATATTTCTAATCAACAAGGCACTGAAACAACGTAAAGAAATTCAGTCCCATGGTAGCCGGTAACCAACAAGTGATTAATACTCCATTAGTTCCCTCAGGATCTCGGAGCCTAAGTGCATAACTGGTTTGGAATCAGGGATTTTCGGCTCCTCCATATCCACCAACCCGGTTAAAGCGCCGGACATTCGATTTTCGTTCTCTCAATTTCGTTAACAACAGCCACCCCGTGAGAAGGCAATGAGTAGGACTTCCCTGGAATTAGCTGTATAAGCGTGGCCATATGAAAGCATTTCGAGAGGACGAGCGGACTCTCCCCATCGGCGCCCGTACCAGGGCATTTAGGAGCCACTTATCGAATACATTACCTATTGTGATTCAATACACATATAACGGTCTATATGGTGAAGCGTTGAGTGAAAATAATTATATGAAAGTTAGACAAACTATCTAAATAACTAAACGGAATTATCAGTTGGCAGTTAACTGTACAAACTACTGAACTAAAGATTTGTATTAGCATATTGAATAATTATTATCAAAACTTAAGCACGACAAAAGCAAACAACACAAACACAGATATAATATTGAGAATAACACGTAGTCAAGTTAGTCTGTCACACATCCTCATATGTAATGTCTAGGATATATATTTCCACTGTGGAAACTTCTAAAAAGGTTATTTATACAAATAGTAAAAAGCACATTTCGACTATTTTAACTGTAGGTATATAAAATACAGAAAACAGAATATTCTGCGAGTTCGAACATGATAAAATCACAAGATAACTTAATTTGCTTAATACTAGTTAGAATGAACAATGAATATGCAGGGATTTACATAGCAGTGTATGACATAAAAGAGAAAAATTGATAATCATTATTTCATTGAAAAGACAAACCAATGATCAGCATCAGTAAGTCAACATAAAAAATCAAAATCAAAATTTCATAAAGTAGCATTACTTTAGAAAAAGTAGAGTTCTCTTTTCCTTGTTCTAATTGAACAACACGTGCTCTTGATTGAAGTATCTGGTCAATATCTTCTTCACAAAAATCTTCACCAGCTTTATCATCATCCATTAATGCTCCATATGCACCTTTCTTTAAAAGATCTTCAATTTCTTTTTTTGTCATTTGAGCCTGTGAGAAATAAAAATCGAGAAAATATACTGAATTCAGATGATGAAGACTAAATAACGGATGTAATTGTAAGTGAAGCAAGCCAAGTGATATTCGAAGGAAATGTTTTATCCTCATCTTCAATTTTGATACAATATAGGTTTGAGTCAGTCAAATGTAATCATTATAGTCATATCCACTTCATCTAGCCTTACTGAATATACAAGAGGTTGGTCTGGAGTTTGAAATAGAGAAAAATATTTATTTCTGCCAACGTTTAAATGATTATAAATGATAAAAACCCTTCTACTTCTAGCGCGTAAATTCAGTAATTACTTGATACACAAAGCAAAGATCATTTGACGTACATGTATGAATATGTAAAAATTATGTAACCATAATTTATTTGAACTTATTTTTCTTAAAATTTTTAGCACCATTTTAACTTGAAATGACTTTTCTCGAAAAAACGTATACTTACGATGAGCATTACTACGTGTTAAAGAGTTTTGATGTAAAACTGAATCAATAAATATAGAGAAATCAGAAATTAATACACACCATCAAGTGTGAATATAATCAATAATACTTGTAGTTGGAAAATTACATTACACTTAGTTACTCGACAAAATAATTATCATACCATTGATTTAGATTCTAATTATTGACAGAAAATACCATCAACATAACCATCACTAATTTAGTACACATACTTGTCTAGCTTCTTTACTGCCCATAGACTGAAGAACTGCTCGATCTAGACCTAGTTTCAGAGATGCTCGATCAAACATTTCACGTTCATATGTATTACGAGTAATTAAACGATAGACTTTAACCATTTTTTGTTGACCAATACGATGACAACGTGCTTGGGCTTGAAGATCATTTTGAGGATTCCAGTCAGAATCGTAAATAATTACCACATCGGCAGCAGTTAAATTAATTCCCAAACCACCAGCTTTGGTACACAACAAAAAGACAAATTTATCTGGATCTAAATTAAGGGAAAGATAAATAAACAAAATGAAGAAAAATAATCATTAACAGGTATCATATTATCGATGAAAGCCATAAGGAATACACAGGATAATAATATAACACGTTAATATAAATGATGAACTGAGTCAATGTAGATAAATAATAATAAACCAAACGTCAAAATATCAGAAAAATCAAAACGATAAAATATTTTATGCAAGTGCAATGTCATGTGAACATACCTCCGAAAATAATTTTGTCAAAACAAAGCTTATTCATTTTGTGTACAGTTTAACTCAATTAACGGTAGATAGATCTCATATCCCTATATGTCAAAAGTGGTAGTTTCAACAACTACAATCTTGACCACTATGTGTTTGAGTTAACCTATTCACAGACTGAAAATTGTATTTTGCTTTATGTTAATTATCGTATAAACGAATGGTCGTGAAAACATTCTAGGATTACTTTGATTTTTGAAGGTAATCTTAATTGGTGCTAAAAATTTGAAAGTTAGCTTTTCACGCTCAACAAATATACAAGTATGTAGGCGATGATACGTGAATTTGTTAACGGTAATTATAAGAAAGTCTTCAAAAAACATTACTTCAAACCGTTAATTTTAAGGCAGGTTAGAAATAAGAACAAATTTGATCATTGGTGTTTTAAAAAAGTACTAGGTTAATGTTTAAGAAGTGTCGAGTGTTGTCTATACATCAAGAAGTTTTAATACAGATGGGAATTGGTACGTTTATTCCTACTTTAAAACTTATTGAAAGATCAAGATTTTTACTATACAATATTAGTTATAGAGTTATTTATTTAATTTTAACCAAAGAAGAAAACAATATACCGTCAAAAAATTATCATCAATAATACAAAGATTCAAAATCAGGATTATGATATTCCTCTATCAATTCATATTTAAACGTAAAATGATCTAAGACGAATTTATACACACAATGCTGCCAAAACCATTAATCAGTTTGTGTTATATGGGTAACAAGAAGAATTAAAAATCAAATCATGAAAACTTTTGCTTACTTCGTTTACGATCAATAAAAGTTATTAACATCCTATTATACAAACTAATAACATTATCGTTATCATCATCATCATTACTGTTAATTAAACAGAACGATTAGCTGAATGATGAATTTAAAAAAAAGTAATAAACAAGGCACGCTTCTTCTTTTCTTAATATTAAATGTCACCAAATAATTTATATGATTATTAGCAATATCATTATTACCATTCATGACCATTTGTTGATAATGTATGAAAGTGTTAACAATTTAGACAAATATTTCATACTGATAATTCTTTTTACATTTTTAACAAAAAATAGAAAGGATCAATTGATACGTATAGATGTTTCGTGTAGAAATTAATAGTTTAGTTTAATGACCATAGAATTACTTGTTATTATTTGTATGCGAGCGTACGTATGTGTGTGTGTGTGTACTAAAAACTAAATATAGTTTAGTAAAATATGGAGAAAAAAAGAGGAAACTACTGAACGATGTACATGTTACATAGTTTAATAGAAAAGAAAAAAAGGACATTCTAAAAGATATTCGATACCTAGTGGAACGAAAAGTCTTAGTCTAGTTTTAAAAAGAAAATTATTGAAGTAGGAACTTTCATTTTTCTTTTGTTCGATTGATGAAATAGGGAAACAAAGAATTACAACTGTGATAAATGATTTAATCCCCTGAACATGACAATATACTCTATGTACAGTAAAAAATTTCCCGTTTATATAATAGTAAACACAATTAGTTGGTTCAAAAAGTTATTAAATATCAGTTTCCTCTAATCAACTTATATAAGGAAGCACAGAGAGTACATGTTTGATGAGAAAAATTAGTGTATCACGCATAAGATACTCTAGATGTATGAGAAAAAAAAACGTTAAAATTTACAATACCTATGAAAGGAAAGAAACCTGATGTTATATGATATCGATGTGAAATCATATTGATAATTATCTAGCAAGATATATTCCAAGAAATAAATTGATTTATAAGTTAATATCATACAGCTTACAATCGACTTTGAGATGTGTACTACTAATCATACTATGGAACTGCTTTGTAAATTATATGATTTATTAAACTTAATATTTATTTATTGATTATTTTATTGAATTAATTGTTCTTTTTACAGTTATAAAAGTAAAATAAGTGGTGTCATAAGGTGAATGAACAATACGTAACTATTTCCACCTTATTGCCGTGATAGTGTAGTATCAATTGAAAGAAAAATATAGTTGGCTTAGTCACATTATTGATCAAAACCATTTTCTTCAAAAAAATCCAATAGGTTCTTCTGTTTTTTGCGGTTAACAATATTTAAAGATGTCCAAAAATATTTTTCATTCATGATTATAAAATAAAGATATTTACGTTTCTATTAATGTTTACAGTAAAGATAATGCCTCATAATCTGTTAATTGTTATGACTAATAGAATTAAATTTGTTGAAATTGGTTGATAAATTACTTTGTAAAAGGATTTCTTAAAACTCACCAATACTGAATCTGTCTATTGCCTCTTGACGTAATGGTCCATGAATCCGTCCATCGATACGTTCAAATTGAAACCTAAACACAGTATACATAAATTGCATCTGATTTATAGGGAGATGAGATAAACTAAATTGAAGCTAACAAACTACAATTAATGATTCTGCATGAGAACGAAAATATTTAGAAAAGTATACTAGGAATGTTGTATTCAAGCGGCACATAAATCAATTACGAAGAGGATATTTTGAAATTATGTTTACTAATGTAATAAGCAGCAAAATTGAGATAGTACAATCTTGCCAGTTAGTAATAAATAAAATCCCTACATCCATAATTTAGCTGGAGTGTTTTTCATACTAACATGAATATTACAACATAAGAACTAATATATCGTAATATTGTAACTAATGTTAGTATGAATTACAAACCCATAATTCTAACTTCTAAGCCAGGCACTAATTACCTAATAGTCTACGGAGATAGCAATGCAAACTAACCTATTATATTATTGGAGAGCACAAATTATAGACTTACAGTACCTTTGTAAAGTTATTTTTACTCAGTGGTAAAAACAGATTAAACGTGACATCAGTTAAACAAAACGTCAATGATAAGTAGTAATACATAATGAATAAGAGGGACTCAGGTGATAATGGAGTAACCAATTATACAAAGTATGCAAGTACTCTTCACGAGACATTTTGTTTAAAGGGGAGAAAAAATAAATGTGAATACTAATTAAGTAGAACTAGACTTCGATCACATGTTACATGACTAAATACTGTACCCTAATAATTTTGATAACGAGACAACAGTCAGTTAGCAGTAGCTTAATTGTATGAAGGATTTTCACTTGTAATAGATTCATTTTCACTAACTTATTGACATTTTGCAATGTTTTACAATCAGAATAAGGATTAAGAGCGAAACAACATGTGAAGATAACGGGATGCCAATGACTATCATCCATCGACGTCCTAAACAATGAGCAGAGTTTATCGAGAAGCAGTTCAACTGGTCCCAGAGGCATCAATCAAACTGTCTTGCTCTCTCCATGGCTCTTGACGAATGGTCTACCTAACGAGGCAGAAGTCCACAAGGAACTCCAACTCCTGGGGCACCACAAATCAACAGGCACAGATGACTGACCTCCAGCTCTTTTTAAAGATGGTGGAGACTTTCTGGCTAAGGAACTGATTGAATTGTTTGCAAACGTTTTGGAATTCGAGTGTTACAACATCATGAAATGAAGCGATAGTCGTCCCTATCTTTAAAAGGATTTACGTCAATTATGCAACAACTTTCGTGGGATAAGTCTACTTCCGATTGCGACCAAACTATTGGCTTCCGTTATAATTCGCAGATTATTGAAAACCCGAGTAACACTGACTCGCTCGTTTTCGTTCTGGTCGAGGATGTATTAATCATATCTTCACCCTCCGCCAAATGTTAGAACACCGTCATACTTATCACAGGCTAACAACCATAGTATTTCTTGACATTAGGACTGCCTTCGATTCGTTGGACAGGACTGTTCTCGAGGATTGCCTACTGAAGAACAGTGTGCCTGGGAGTTTATTAACTTCTTGAAAGCCATATATAAACACTTCAGGCAGAGAGAGAACATACAACTACCTCTCTCCACTATTCCACTCAAGCAGTGGGTTAGGCAGGGTTGCCCCATTTCAACATTTCTCTCCAACGTTGCCATTGATGAGGTTCTAGAAACAGCCCTGATGGATGTAGATTATGTTGGCGTGGATCTGTTGTCCGGAAAAGTACCTTTCGATCTTGAGTATTGTCTCACTGAACGACAATACCCAAGTCATCCAATCCGCACTTCATCAGTTGGGAATCAGTATCTGTAGGTATGACATGTGCTTTGCAACTTCGAAGTGCAAAGTCCTTCTACAAGACTGACAGGACCCTGATCCTGCACTCACCCTGAGTAGTGAGAAGATAAAAGTAGTCGGGAACTTCGTGTAATTAGAAGAATTCTTTCTCGTTGTATTTTTTCTAACTGGACTGTTTCTCCCATTATTTTATTACCATTTCATTTTCACACACTAATTTCTGTTCATTATTGTTGTTGTTCTCTTATCACACTCACTTTACATTGTTTATCTCTTCACAACCTCATTATTGTGTGGCGCATATGTATTTTGTGCCTCGTTATACCAATGTTTATATGTTTAAATAATAATAATAAATAGTACGAACGTTTTACTGAAATGCTCATTAATTTGAACATAAAAACATTGGTACATGAGGCACCGAATACATATGCGCTACTTGATTTATGTGTGTGCTGTGTTACTGCCCGGGTGCCCAGATAGAAACAGGTTTTAGTCAAATAACCTGGTACTATTAATTTTCAAAATGTCAAAGAATAATTGAAATCGTTTGTAAAGTAACTTTAAAATTAAGGGAAAGAATACAACACGATAAAAGTTTTTTGCCAGCATGACATCTGAAAAAGTAGCAACTTACCCTTGGTGAACAAGATAGTCTTCAAGAATATCGAGTACACGAATCATTTGAGAAAATATGAGGACTTTGTGACCATCAGCACGTAATTTCGGTAACAACTTATGAATTAACACAAGCTTTCCTGAGGCATAGACCATTGTTCGAAAGGTCAGATCATCTTCGCTCAAAGCATTATCGTTTGCCTTGAATAAGATTGAAAAATCATTAATTTCTCGTAGTAAAACAATCAAAAATATGTATTTTACTAAACTGAATAAGCCACATGACAGAATTATATGAAAAGAATATTGATTTTGTCATCCATTCAGTTGTCTCCAGTAAAACTCGTATTTTATGCTTATTATGGACTAAAAACACGGAATTAAGCGAAGCGATTTCATCCCGACAAAATTATTTCAATCTTTACATCCACTCTTTATTTCTAAACATAACTGTATTGCCATCATTTATATGACAGATTGGCATCGTTTATGGAATCCAGTTAAACACTTCGAAAAGTTTACGCTTACTAGTACTTTACAGTAGATTAAGTCATCCGTAATCTTAAGTTTACAAAACGTTTTCTTCAGGTTAAGAATGAAGACTATTCAATAAAGCCGTACAACGGTTTGTATGTTGATCTAACATAGTCGATTGTAAAGTATAGTGAGATTACATCAACAGTTTGCAGAAATTTCAAATGCCAAACTTAGACCATATATATTGTGAAAACCATGAGATAGTGGTCATAAAAAAATTAATATCGAGTATAAAAAGCTAGGAGAATTTATTATTTCCTAAAATATTTTGTCTTAAAAATGAATTTCTCAAACTGGTTATTCTGTGTTAATGTGAAATTTCATCTAAACAATGATATATATAATAAACATTGAACCGCTATTTTTATTTAAATGATATAAAATGATGTTGCAGAGAGAAATAGATTATATTTATATATTTTAATTGTCGAGAAAAAACAAAGGTTTCGAAAGTTAATTAATACCTGAAATTCTGAGAGTATAGCATCTTCAGCGCCTTTAATTAAAAATGGATGATTACAGCATTTTCTCAACTCCATCATTATATTCATTAAATTAGGTGCATTTGTGCTGGAACCCTTGCATAGAAACGAAAAATTACGTTCCATGATTGCGCGATAGTATTTCTTCTGTATATTAGTCAATTCCACCTATTTAAAGAAAAATATTTGGATAAGCGACAAGATAAAAACAAAATTAATAGAATTACGTATATTAATTAAGCAATTTACTGAATTACCTCAACGACAGTTTCTTCTTTTGGAGCTAAACTCTTTTCAACATCTTCTTTTAGCCGACGTAACATCATAGGTTTTAGCACTGTTTTTAAACGTTCAACTTGTTCTTCTGTTTTCAATTCACCATACTCAGCAACAAAAGTGGCTGAACAATTGAACTTTTCAGGTTCCAAAAAATTCAATAAACCAAACAACTCCTCTACATTGTTTTGCAATGGAGTCCCAGTAAGAAGAACACGGTGATCCTGAAAGTTATACGATAAAAGGAACAATTTAACTCGGTAGCCATATTGACTTCAGGCTGCACTTCTTTTATTTAGACTAAAATGTATGTCATTATCCTACATAATGCAGCATTGAAATTTGTTTACATTTGAGATTAAGGTTGAAAATTAATCCCTAACCGAAAACCTATTATAAGCCTTAGAACCTAATTTTGGCTTTGAAATAGATATTGGGTTCTAATCCTGACCTTACAGAAATAACTACACATTTTTAACCTAAAAACTAAGCCGGAATCATAAATCGCTCATTCATATTTGCTGCGTTTCAATTGGTTGTGTCAACAGATTGTCAAAGTCATTCACAGATTTGATCAAGCTCGCTCTGATATTTCAGCTTTATCTATGAGAGCTATGTTGGGTATAATTTAGCTTATAAAAGTACTAGCAGTTTAACTCAAAGTATACAATAGTAGTATGGGTAGACATCACGCTAGATAAAATATATAAACAAGTAATTAGTAAAATCACTCAAGTGAAACCTTTATTCTAGTTATTTTCAATGCACAAATAAAATTGTAAGATACTGATTGGCAAATGTCGTCTATTAAGAATAGTAATCAATTCCCAGTCGAAGTAACACCCCAGAAATGCATGATCATTAGATGCTGAGGATGTTAGATCCCCAGAACTTATTAGTGTAATTATATTTCATAAACTTGAATTTCTTGTTTTTGCGCAAAAGGCGCTCATTTTTACCTTCATGTCGTATTTTCCACTTGGGAGGGTCTTAGACGCCAATGGTTAGTTGTATCTTTTAGTATGCTATTTTGCAACGCTTCCCAAGGACATTTTTATGCTGTATATATAGGCTTGATTTGTGCTTGAATTTGTTCGTGCTTCTGGATGCTAGTGGAATATATTTCTCTCTCTGGACTTGGACTTCTTTCTCTAGTTAGCGGGGCTGGGACGCGTCGGAAATAGCTAGCTTATGTCATTGTGGCACAGTCTTCGTTTCGTTCTCAGATTAGGTGAACTAATAATCTCTTCAACCATAGCATTAAATTACTTAGGTAATCGGTTGTTGTAACATTTCATATATGCAACAAAGAAATACTACAAATCTAAATACTACATAACACTTCTTTCACCTATTTATTTGATGAACATTTTGTAAAACATGGAAATCATTACAAATCTAATCAAGGTGAATAGTGCGTATGAGTAGGAGAAAAATCGTACAACAACGAATCGACGTTAGTCTACGAAAACGGTTTCCTATCCCCATCAATTTCAGTAAAAACAAATTATTATTAAATATGTTACATAACAAGGGCATTCCATTTGAATAAAAAACAAACACAATGAAAAAAAGAACAAATATTTGACTTGCCAAATCTAAATATCTCAAGCCTTCACCAAGTTTACACTTTTTATTTTTTAATCGATGCGCTTCATCTATCACAGCAGCTGCCCAATGAATTTGACCAAAAAATTCAATATCGTTCATAAGAACTTCAAAAGTTGTAACTATCACATGAAATTTATAAATATCGTGTCTAGGTGCACCGGATGTACGCTTACGATAGAACATTTCATATTCTTGAATCATACTTCGACTAACAGAACTTCCATGATAAATAATCACATTAAAATCTGACCAATTTTCAAATTCTCGTTGCCAGTTACCAACAGTAGATAAAGGAACAATAATTAGAAATGGACCTTGGACATTAGCTTTAAATATTTCTAAAAGAAATGTAACACTTTGCACTGTTTTGCCTAAACCCATCTCATCGGCAAGTATACAATTACGATGATGATACCAACAGAATGTAAGCCAATTCACCCCTTCAACTTGATAGTCACGTAGTTTATTATTGTTTTTATAAATTGTGTTAGAATCAATCGGTTTCCAAGTAGAAGGATCAGGTCGAATAATCTATAAGGAAGTAAAACATTTCACAAAAAATATCAACCAATAGAAATCAAATGCATTAGAATTAGGCATAAAATAGTAATCAAACAGCAAACAAAAACTTTAATGTCATATTTTGATGAAAATAAAGGATCAGAGTAAAACTTTGTGTACCCATGTGTTTGACTTTTCTTTAAAAAAAAATGAATGAAATGACCTCTAATATGAGTGAGCTTTGGAAATTTCCACAATACAAATTATGAAGAAAAAGAAGTAGAAATTTGCATAAAAATAATTTATGGCAACTGAAGCATCAAAATTATGTAGAATACCAAAATCATCCTTTGCTATCTGCAAAGAGTTAGTCTATAGACGTATAGATAAAAGTAGATACATTGAATAATATACCCACAAAAATACTTTGAAAATGACTGACATATATTATAAGAGTATCTAAGACCGTAAAAACACTCATCTATACTATATAGTATAGCAGTTTTGATAAATACTAGTTAATAATTCTACATATATATATTACGAAGACATAGGAAAATAGAAAACAATATTACCTTGTAATTATTATCCCTAGGAATAAAAGGATTCCTTGGTGGGTAACGACGTTTGTAGAATTCTTTAACTTTTGTTGGGTCAACATCCTGAGATAATTCCCATGTGGCATCTTCATAAGCTAATGAACGCCATTTAACCAGGTAGTAAGTTACATTAACAGGTGAACAGGTGCCATCATCATCATCATTATTATCATCCTTATCATCGATATCATCATATTTTCCAGTTTTATTTGTTAGTAAAGTTGCTTCTAATTGAACGCTTTCTATTTCAGATTGCTTGGCTGCTGACGATGTATTTACATCGCTGATGTCATTAAGCCTATCTTTCTCATCATTATGAGACGACATTAGATCAGCAGGGCTAGGACAAATAGTGTCTGTAGATTTTATATCTAAATCAACAAGTGTGGTTTGAGAGATATGTGAAGATGTATCGCCTGCATTGGAACTACTAGGAGGAGGACAATTTGTGTTGTTATCAGCTTCAAGAAAATCTTCAGTAAGTGGTGTTGTTGAATGATTTTCTGAAACAGTTTCCGAAGTATTCATTGTTAACATGATAGTCGACTCCTCAGATGGAGCCTCACTTTTCATTTTGCATTTTGTTTCATGAACATTACGGACTTTATTGCGCTCTTTGTGTCGTCTAATATACCTTTTTAAATCCGCCGGATCACCACTGAAGCTTTCTCTACCAGACTCACGTTCTAACTTCTCCGTAGGTACTAGTTGACCATTACTATAAACTTTAACGTCTAGTACGCGTTCGACTTCCACATAATCTGGGTTAAACAATACGACATCATCATCCTAAAAGTTAGAATCATAATAAATTAACAGTATAAGTAAAACCACCTGAAAAGCAAATATATTTGAAAAATAATATGTGAATCCGAGTTATTTAACGTTATGGCATTTCCTTGTGTAATCAAAACTTAATAAGAATTAAAGTTGAAGTATAATTTACACTAACACTACAATGAACAACCAATAAATTTATTTTTCTTACAAACAAGAGCTTCATGCTATAAGCTTCGAGATACACTATGTGTATAGGATAATGATATAACCCCGTTGCCCAAAACAAAATAGGTGGAGCAGGATTTAAATTTGCAATCTAAAGAAGTATTTTAACCAATAAGTTCAAAACGGTTACCAAGGCAAAAAGCACAGCAAGGAAACACAAAGTCTATTCAAACAATGATGTAGTAGTTTCCACGCTACTTTTACAACACGAGACCAATTTTCAATATCATCAAAATAATTTACTAACTAAAAGTGTGATTTAAAATTTCACTTGTGGTATGAATAAGTTACCTAATAACTTATCAAGTAATCCCGTGATTACCCAAGATAAAACAAATAAGCAAACCAAAATTTTATTTCTAATGTTTTCACGGCATTTACCAACTTTGAATTCCTAAGGTTTAACATAAGAGTTTAAGTAATAAAAAAGTGCTGATATGTTTTTGTGAAAACCCAACAGCTAAGGTGGGTGATATACATTATTTATGCTACCTACCTTGTTACAGGCAGATAGATGAGAAACAAGTGAGTAGAGTAGAATGATATAAACGCTTGTACGTTGTGTCCATCGGCGTGTATTATATGCTGCACTATAAGCTTTTAGATTAAGGTCTAAGTGCTTATAAAGCGATGGTCATAAAAAACTGGGAATTATGACCCAAGATATACTAATAATACATCAACATAATATTTGTTCATTGTGTACATATTCTGCTTCGGTTAATTATTTAAACGGATGAATTAAGATGTGAGATTTTACATTGTTCAGCCTATTACGTCTTTTCTGAAATATATACGTAAGTTACATTTAAGGTAATGTTTCTTGTCAATAATTTTATGATTGAACTAACTGGCTGGTAAATGTAATTTGGTACTCCGCCGGATAACACTGTCGTCTCGATTGATACATGATAACATTTGATTGTTAGCAAAAGTATAATAATTAGGGTGTGTGAAGCCCTTTCGTGAGTCTGAAATAGGAAGAACTACATAATATGGACCCCACTGCTGACCACCAACACTATAAAAACCGGAAATGATTTCATGATGTATGTGTCCTGGTGATGCTGGTGATATGTGACATTTGCACATATTAAATGAACAGTTAGACAATCAATAATACGTTAGCATTACGCTCAATTGTAAAAACAAAATTCTTTACCCAGTTAATTATTTAAATAAAGACTTACTTCGGTGCGTATCGAATTGGCCTGTTTCATCTCAAATCGTCTTATTTTCGGAAGAATACGCGGATCAGTGATTTCATCTAAAGCACGCCATTCACAATGAAGGTATGAACTGCAAAAATATTTTTTTAAAATGACACCGAATACATACTTTACTGATGAACAGATCATTCTTATCAAAGAGAAAGGAGTAAATAATTTTTTATAGTGGAGAAACAGGGAGATTGCATAATAGCTGGATATGTACCATGTACTGATAACTCAAACCTACGCTAATTTACAATGCTAAAACTAAATTTCAATTAACTGATAGGATTTTCAGATTACGTTTTCACAAACTTTTCTACATTCCAAATAATATGGCATGGGAGTTGGTATTGTTACACACCTATGTGGTTTATTATAAGCTTTGAAATTATTTATTATTATGTGAAATTATTCAAGGTATTGGCAGAGACTGAACAGACAACATGAGTTTATTGCAATGGGTGGGACTTTTTATAGTGACAATTCATCAGACAATGAATCGGTGACTTCCAATTACGGTTCACTTCAATAATGTAGCCTGAGAAATATTGTCTTTATTTGTACAGTTTTTCTAACGAAATAAATGTTCAGGCCATATGAAACAGTGAGATAATTAAGATGGGAGATTTTTGGAAATAGAAGTATTTTCACAGTTGAAATTACGAGCCTACATAAGCTAGACCACTATTCAGAATCTTCAAGAACGGAACGGCCGTCTATCCATAGTATTAGACTGATTAGCAATGTGCATCCATGATCCCACACGGGTGTACTCGAACCCAAGACCTTCGTCTTCGCACGCGAACTCTTGTCTGTGAAGACATCACAATCTCTACAAACCCCCTAAACTAATAACAATCATATGCATACTAGTGACTAGCTTCAAGGTGTAACTCCTGGAGTTCTAGTACGAAGCCATAAACAGTGGAATTCAATTGTGTCGGGTGTGAGGAAGTTACCCTTCGAAGACAATGGGAAGATGGTCGCGCAACATTGTGGACTGATTGAAGCTAGACATTAACACTGTAGAATGCCGGCCCATTGGTTGAGCGTTCACACGCCAGACCGGAAGTATCAGGTTCGAGTCCGCGTATTTATTTATTTATATATTTAATTGAACACATAAATATTGGAACAAGAGAGCGCCAATATATATGCGCCACACAAAACAATGAGAAATCGAAGAGAAAAAAAGGTAAGGAGCTCAAGAAAAAAAAAGAGAACAATAACGAAGAGATTGGTGTAAGGTAGTGTGGTAGTAATGAGGGAACGAAAGGTACAATCAGAAGAAATCTTTCAGGTAAGGGAGACACAACCACTTTTTATGAAGAAAGTAAAAGAAGGTTACAGCAGGATCGCCACTGGCTTCTATTCTGAGCCATATCTGATAACGTCTCTAGCCACTGTGTAGCACCATCTCTCAGACCCCAACCAGGGAGTCGTGAAGGACCAACACAAGCCAGTCCTTTGCAGCTTTCTTTCATGCCACGACACCATGTCATGCACTGACCACCTCTCCGCTTCTTCCAACCAGTCCCAGAGTCGGCAAATAATGCACGACGTGGAATTCTCTGGGACGACATTCGGAGAACATGTCCAAGCCACCGAAGTCGGTGTTTCAAGATGGTGACACCAATTGAATTATCATCTCTGTGCCCGAACACACGATGCCGAACCTCTGCATTACTGACATGGTGTTGCCACTGAATGTCAGCAATCCTTCGGAGACAGCGATGATCGAACACAGAGAGTCGTCTAACGTCCTCAACTCGGAGAGGCCAGGTTTCACAAGCATAGAGCAAAACTGCTCTCACCGACGCGTTGTAGATCCGACCTTTTACAGCCAGACTAACATCACGAAGGCGCCAAAGGTGGCCCAGATTGGCATAAGCCGCTCTGGCTTTCACTATACGTGCATTGATCTCATCACTCACACCCCCACCAGCACTTATGCAGCTACCCAGATACACGAACTTCTCAACTACGTCTATCTGCTCACCATCCAGGGTGAGTACAGGATTAGAATCCTGCCAGTCTTGTAGAAGTACTTTGCACTTCGAAGGTGCAAAGCACATACCATACCTACGGACACTGATTGCCAACTGATTAAGTGCGGATTGCATGCCTTGGGCATTATCGCACAGTAAGACAATATCGTCCGCATACTCAAGGTCGAGAAGTCTTTCTCCAGGCAACAGATCCACACCACCATTACTTACATTCATCAGAGCTGTTTCCAGAATGTCATCGATGGCAAAGTTGAAGAGGAATGGTGAGATTGGGCAACCCTGCCTAACCCCACTGCTCGAATGGAACAATGGAGAGAGGTGGTTGTATGCCCTCACTCTGCCTGAGGTGTTTTTATATAGGGCTTTTAGGATGTTAATAAACTTCTCAGGCACACCCTTCTTCAATAGACAATCCCAGAGAACAGTCCTGTCCAACGAATCGAAGGCAGCCCTGATGTCAAGAAACACTACGATTGTTGGCCTTTGATAAGTATGGCGGTGTTCTAACATTTGGCGGAGGGTGAAGATATGATCAATACATCCTCGACCAGAACGAAACCCAGCCTGCTCCTCGCGAGTCAATCTTTCTCGGGTTTTGAACAACCTACGAAGTATGACGGAAGCCAATAGCTTGGACGCAATCGGAAGTAGACTTATCCCCCGATAGTTGTTACAGGAACGACGTGAACCCTTTTTAAAGATAGGGACAACTATCGACTCATTCCATGACGTTGGTACACTCTCTAGTTCCCAAACCTTTGTAAACAACGTCGTCAATTCCTTAGTCAAAAAGTCACCACCATCTTTAAAAAGAGCCGGAGGTAAGTCATCTGGGCCAGGTGATTTGTAACGCTTCAAGAGTTGGAGTTCCTTGCGGACTTCCTCCTCATTTGGTGGATCAGTCGTCACCGGCCATGGAGGGCAGGACAGTCTGACCGATGTTGCCGGAGCAGCAGGCCAGTTGAACTGCCCTTCGAAAAATTCTGCCCATCGTCCAAGACGTCGATGGATGTTAGTGATTGGCATCCCATCATCCTCGCAGATTGTTTCACTCACACCAGACTTCTTGCTGCCAGTGGCTCGGATGAGCTGGAAGAGCTTCCGGTAGTTACCAGATGCAGCTGCTGCTTCCAGCTCATTAGCACGCTCGACCACCAGGCTTCTCGGTCCTTACGCAAGCTTTGCCCAATTTCCTTACGTAACATCCTTCGTTTATGGTCAAACTCACGGTCACCCGGAGTAGACCGACGGGCTTCAATGAGTTGTAAGGAACCAGAAGAAACCCAGTGCTTAAAAGCGGGACGTTTCGCAAACCCACAACTGACTGTTCCCGCCATTTTCATGGCGTCATGCAATTGCAACCAATGCTCATCTATACTTTTCGGTGGAGTGGTAGCTAGCCTAGAGGCTAGCTCGGTTCGATACTTACTTGCAACAGAAGTTGCAACCAGCTTGCTAACATCAATCCGTTGGTGGCGGTCACTTCGTTGTCCACTGAAAAGTAAGGCAAGATTGGCGCAGACCAAGGCATGGTCAGAGTCCAGATAGGTACTCCAAAAGGAGCGGCAGTCTTGTACACAACCACGCCAGCGGTAGCTGATCGCGATGTGATCAATCTGAGTCCAGGCTTGAGATGCAGAGGGAGGACGCCAGGTGGCACATCGGCTATGACTGTTCCGAAAGTTCAGTCAGTCAGTCAGTAACAACGTAGAACTTCGTACGTACGTACATCAGTTCCAGTTGCCACATCACATTAGCATAGAGATGCAGTGGTCGATTCAAATCCCGTAGTAGTAGAGGTAATAAGAGTATAAGCAGTAATCGGGAAGATTAGTGTTTGGAGATGTTATTTAAAGAGTATAATACAGTGAAATAAATTTGAGAGGAGAAAAAAAAGAGACAAGGAGGGATAAGAAGATCAAAATTTGGGAGAACACAAAGAGTGGATACACCTGCGCCATTGCAAACGATTTTGGGCTATGTCATTCAGGGTCTCGAACCATCGGTTGTTATTATCTCGCGGTCCCCAACCAGGTAGTCTACACCTACCGACATGACTCAGTCCACTTGTCAGTGACTTCATGGAAATTTAGTGCGAGATTGTGGATGAGCACCGCTGAGAAGTCCCATACCGTGACGAAACGGCCGCATAGGTTTTCACTGTTGGTCTAGAGCAGATGGACTTGTGGTTTCAACTGCGAAAATCACTAAGAGTTGAGTATCACAATACAATGTATGCTTTAATGGTCAGACAGAGGTAAATGTGAATATAGTTGTGTTTAATTTACATAAATTATTGTATTCTGAGGAAGAAGTATGATTAAATACAGGTGATAAAAATGTGCCTTAACAAATATATGTTCAGAACAATTTCCCATGAATTCACAAACTATTAGTGAAATTTCGCAATATCACCATAAAATGGGAACAAGGCGAGTAGAGAACGTTAAAAGGATAATCACTAGAACACTTACTAAGATTTATATTTCAAATAGAATTCTTCAACTTCTTCCTCTTCCTCTTCTTCTGTAACTGTGATTTGAGACTTCTCCCCTGAATTATTTGTTGAACTTTGCATGTCAACTTTACTATTTTTGCTAATAACATCGTCAGTAGATCTTATCTCAGTTTGAGTAATTTTTTTTATCAATCTCTTAGTAATTCGTCGACCAAGTACAGACTCAACAATCTTGTTATCAACATCTTCGGCAAAATCCTAAACAATAAAATACGAAAACCGGTATAATATCTAAAAGAAAATGCGATATATTAGAGGATTCTAGGAAAACTAAATAATAAGCTTTGAGTTTTATAGTGTTTATGGATTATTGAATACAAAAAAGAGACATTAACTAGTTAACCCATACAAATAACTAGGCCAATGATTCTTCTAACACAGTGATCATGAGTACAACGTATTTAATATAAACGTGGCTCTATAGTTATTACATCCTTATTTCAGGTTACTTTGTGCAGCATAAAGTTATTAGCTTTTATTATCCTACGAACCAAGAACCAGAAATATTTACTTACGAAAAGTAGAGAGCTGCTAGGATGATTCGATAGCACAAATACTTTTCGAGAATAACAAACCTCAAAATATGCTGTTTTTCTCATTCCTACCAAGATTTCGTAAAATACAGACACTTACTAATTTTAAAAAGTTTGAAAGTAGCACATCACATCGTTATTTGAGCGATTATGTGTTAAAGTTTGCTCAAATGAAAAGTAAGTCATTTAAAAGTGTTGCGCTGAAAGTTTTATAAGCTTGAAAATATGTATTTAAAACGCTGCTTCTACAGTTAAAAACGAGTTAATTATAACAAGAAGGTTTTTAGAGATTAACATTAACAATTCCTCCGCTCTTCTTACTGGTAAATCCTACTGGCTGTACTGATATGATGTATGGGTATTCAAACACATGTAATTTCTTGTGGCACATTTTACAGTATGATTGGTAATCAGTAATTCAAGATTGGATTAGTCATACTAGAAAGAAAACAGACTAGCTTCTTAAATGGAAGAATCGTGGATATAAAAGAAAACTGACTAGTATTTAACAGCTTATACTACATTTCGCAAGCCAGATACATTCATTTTTCTACAAAAGCTTACTTCAACGAAAAATGCTTACGCTCGTCATAAACTTCTAGTCGTATTACAAGTACGATGCCATTTACACATCCTCACCTTTCCCTCTAACTTTTGTTTCTTCTATCAGTTTTTAGTACATTGACAAAATGTGTTAAATTACTTAATTTAGACATGTATTGAAATAGCACATAAATACGTTAGTGTTTAACTGAGAGTTTAAAGTTCAACTAAGGATTTAGTAGGAAAAATATGGCTAATTAACATTATATTATTCTTCGTGAAATTGCTTACAGCAGAATCATTGAGCGTAATCACTTCACCATCTTGACCATCGATCTCATCATCACTAAGGTTAAGCTGTAAATCGTCAGTATAACTTTTACGATCGCCAGTATTTCGTTCGGAACGACGTTTCTATAATAATAAAATATAAAGGTAAGAAAACTTTATATTTTATCAACGCAATTTATCTATAAAAGCACTTTAGCTAGAATCTAGATACCTGACATTTTTATTAGAGAAGAAAAAGTTCTGACAATACCATAATTTGGCCGAAAAATTGAGATAATCAAGACATTAATACAATGACTTTTTTAAATCACACCACGTACTTAGACATGAACTACATTAGGTTACCGAAACCGAAGTAGACGGAGGAAGGTTCAAACCTGAGACTAGGTGGCCAAAAGCTAGACGCCCTAAACACTGAGCCACCAACTCCACCAATGCGCTGATCTAAATAGTATAAACTTTGTAAAAGAGATTTAATAATTAGTTGACACTATGTAGGATGTAACAATAATAGAAATATGGAAACTGAATATTATACTGTGTTTAATGACATGACAGTTTCATTTTTAATCACATGCTTTATAGTGTGACACTATCGTTCACCGAATATTATTTTTGATATATTTTATTCATAATTAAGACACTGTAATCAATCTTTGTACTGGGGAAGTATTAACCTATTAAGTGCCATGTAATGACAGTGAGGTCAAATTAGACAGTCGAGGTTAGCCAGTTTAATAAATGAGAACGTGGCTATAGAAAAAAATTAGAGAAACCTTAAGATAAAAACCTGACGAAAGAAACCGAACGATAACTATCATTCAGATGTGTTAGCGGGACATAGACTAGATTAAAGCATGCTCAATGAATGATTGCTTTGGTGCACGCTGATTGGCTAATTCTTATCCAATCAGCACTAGCCGATAGTTGGAGAACACTCTGGAATCTTCTTATGTAAAAACTATAAATATACTGACGTTTTCTCTATTGTGCTTCTGACTTGCTATTTGGAATATAATCTCTTTCCTGTTCAACCGTGTTCTGATTTGGGGACTTGTCGAGTGAATCGGTGTCCGAGAATACTAAGCAATAGGAATAGCTGGGTCATAACCGTAAGAAGAAAAGAGCGATTATAACAAGATGATATATACTCTGTTTTATCTTTATCTGACCCTCTTCAGCGTCAAAGTTTGAAATTCATTTGACACTAATCTTGTAAAGAGACAAGCTGAAAGCTTGTAGATTAATTCAATAATAAAAAACTACACTTTTTTCTCCGGAAACTAAAGTATAATCAAGCGGTGTTGTGAAATACTAGCGATCTAATTAGAATGATAGTTCGATACCTTCAACTACATATATTGTTTGACCACAACTATAATGTTTTATATCCATGAGTAAGATAATCTGTTTTAAAACACCTTATAAAAGTGAAAAAGAGAACTTGGAAAATCTATCCGAGTTCTTAGTTTTTTCACAACTGTGACAAAACTTGTGAAATTTAATCGAACAGTTTTGTTTAGACAAGTCCATAATTGGAAACAAATTTCGCCAACCCGGAAATCGGTTCTTATGATAATGATATTCTAATTGTTCGCTTAGTTCGCCGCTTACAGCTTTGAAAAATGGGTAAAGATTGCCGGAAATCAATATAAAAACTTACATTTCTTGAGTTATTAGCACCCTCGGATTCTACTCGAACTTCAGAAGTACGGCTTCCTAGGCGACCTGACACATCCGGTTCGGATCCTGAGTCATCTCCATAAAATGCTGAGCGTCTTTTTCGTTTGATCAACGTAGGCAAAGGTCTAAAACAAAGTTTACTCCTTATGTTAACCAGTAAACACTGCGAACAATGTGATAATGCTAATGTATGCATCACTTACTAACTAGTATCACATAATTATAAAATGCTTTTTACCAGAGAATTAACATATTTTAAGAAATGAGTGAAGAGGATAGACTATCCTTCTGCAAACGATTAGCTATTAGAAATAAAATTAAAATGACAAGCGGTTTTATTCTTCATTTGATTGTTGATGGAAAACTGAATAAAATTGATTATTTTCATTACCATTTAGTCTCCCATTGGTAAAGAGTTGGACAATTATCTTATCCCGCAAGTGACGCAAGATGACAAAGATCAAGTGAATTTTCAGAGTCCGTGTTGAGATTTTGTTAGACACCAAAGCAACAGGGTTGATGAGGCTTCCAAAACAAGTGAAGCAGTCAACACAGTCAGATACTTCACTACTTACCAATAATCCAAGCTCATGCAGACCACTTCTGAAGAGTTATATATTTAGATAGATAGGAACGCATCTCAAACATGGTTGTATTGTTGCCTAAAGCGGTCAGAAAACTATTTTATCACCATCTTCGACGAACAGGGTTGTGACATATGTTTATTATAGGTCAATAAGTGAATATCCTAGTAGGAAATCAACCTCTGAAAAGTCAGTCTATGAGAGCGTAAGCTCAGAAAGGATGTCCATGACGAAGTTAAATCACGGTAGAGAAAGTGAACAGCCATAATCAAACCACTTGAGGTTGAGAATTCTAGTGAGTTTGGTTAAAACTCGAACTTGACTAATACTGTTCAAGTAGAGAGTCTATACAAAGTTGATGTACTTCTTCGGTATGCTTTTTAATAACAAACGTCATAGAACCTCTCGATCAACTAAACCGAGCACATACTTACGAAACATCACTAAAAGTGGAGACGAAAAGAAGAGTACTAGCAATCAAATGTGGAGATTTTCATTACCAATCTTTGGGCACGGATAATAGAGTAACAAATTAACGACAACAAAAAGACATTATGAATGAAATTCGACAAACATGTAGTTAAGTTTTGGAAAAAAGGGATTATAACAAGACATGGTCTTTGGTATTTTGCGAAGCTAATTACGAGATACGTCAGAAACAAAATCAAATGAGTGAATTCACAAACGCACAGACAATACCTAGTACAAATTTATACTTGTTTCAAGTGGTTACACGTTATACCAGTAAAAGACCTGCACAGTAACTTTATTTCTAATTAACATGATTAACACAAAACATTTAAGAAAAACCAGACTTAATTTTATGTTTCGTAATGCAGACAATAGTAAAATGAGTTTAAGAAGTGTACATTAAAATATGTTGCAAATTGTGAGAAAATCAGATGAATAAACGCACCTTCTTTTTTTTGGACGAGGTCGAGCTCGCACGACTTTAACTTGTTTCGTTATTGTTTCAGATAACTGTGTGGCATCATTAGGTGATGTTGTTTCTGAAGACTGTGAAATATTCAAAGAATCATTCTCTAACATAGATGTGGATTTAAGTGACTTTCTGTACTTTCGCTTTTTCCGAACCTCAACAGGACGAATAGAAGCCCGACGCTTTCTGGATTCTAAAAGAGACTCGTCACCCCTGGCATCGATATTTTCATCAATACTTTCAGTGGCATAAGGATTTGAGTCGATGTTGTTAACACTCTCAACATCTGTTTTAGGTTTTTTCGGTGCACGACCACGCGGACGCTTTGTTAGCGGGGCTATAAAAACAGGTCTGTCAGGAGTGTTGTCAGATTGCGCCTCATTTGTTGGAGCCCCAACTTCCCGACTCTTTCTTGGTTTTCGCGGATGTTTATCTGTATCATTCTCGTGATTTCGAGGCTTACGTCCTCTAGTCTTTTTCACTGGTTGTGATTCAGTAGATGTAGTCTTCGGTAGTATAGAAGCGTAAGAGATATCACTGCAGCCTAGACTATTGAATTTATTCATTTCAATACATTGAGTTCCGGGTCCTACGATGGAATGTACAGGTGCTGGTGCTATAGGTTGTAAGTGCTGTCCAATTAATTCGCTCGAAGTCCCCTGATTAATATTCACAGATTATCAAGTTAGAATAAGGGAGTTAAGTAGAATGCAATTATTTTACGTCAAAAAAGTATGAACCAATTCATAGGAAATATAGAATAGCTATTTACCGTTAAAGTTATAAATAAATGACTGATTAGAATCATTTTTAACAGGTATTAAGCGTCTCAAGGCTACAATGATTACCATCAATTACGTTCATTTTCATTACAGAAGCTCAAAATCTCATTTTAGTGTTTTATCACAGTAACGAGAACGGACTTGTGTGTCTATTCAACTGGTGTTGCAAATCACATTAAGAATTCTAATTCTCTGAAGTTAGTATTAAATAATATGTGAAAGACATTGATCGGCTTAAGAACAGTGAGAAGTAACTCAGTCAATCAAACGCAACGTAGAGTCTCACACATGAGAACATTAGTTCGATTTGCCATATCCAATTAGTAATTTCGTCGGAGCAGGTTCCAGAGTAGTAAAAGTAGTGACTGTGATTTGGCAAACGTATATTCTTAAGTACTGTAAAATCATATGGAGACATTCAGTCACATACCAACCAAAGAGAACTGTCTAAAATGGCTAATTTGAGACGATATTGAAGGCTAATTATTCTGAAATCTCTAACCTTGATAGCAGCACGTATAGCAGATATCAATTGCTAGCGTAACAACACCATGTTACATGTAGTGAGCAAGCTTTTCATTGCCAGACAGAACAGGACAAAATCCAGAAATGAAAAGTATGAATCATAAGAGCAAGATAAGGAGTAAGATAAACTGTGAATGCATCTACAGCGAAATTATCAATTTCGCATCATGTAACTTAGTCTCCAATCTTGGATTGCAATTATAATGTAGAACCGAGCTACAAAGCTTTAAAAAACAGGAGTATTACCGCAACAAATGAATACATCTACGGCGAGGTCCTAAATTTCTATGGCTTTCTGTTCCCGATACCTAGTTAAATTAACAATGTGAATTCCAAATAATAATAGTATAAACAATGGTGAGAAAAACTAGATATTAAGTATACAATTTGGGAAGATGAAAATGTAAGAACGAATGATTAGTAAGACTCAAGATACGAGGAATCGCATCTCCTCTATGATCGTTTTGAGGTATGCCACGTGAAATCCCGAACCATTTATTGCAATAACCTCATAGACACCAAAACACCTTAGTTTAACAATCGACTATTTCATAAACCAGCCACGTTTTTATTCGGTCACACGTAACTTTCAACCTACTCCTATACCAGTTGTCAACACTCGTTGAGGTAGACACTGGTTGCACATAAGCAATGTGTTTCAACCCCATCATCCGATAATGGTTTAAAACCACATCAACTGACATAGCATCTTTGCCAAGCACTTAGCGTCCAACTCCGAAATATTGTAGAAGTTTTAATTATCATTGCGAAACTTAAAAAGCTAGATCCTAGAATGTTTTAAAATGCAGCTTCTCTGGTCTCTGAATGCACAAGTTTTTTGTATGTGTAAAGGAAACAACTACGAAGCTAATCCTTACTCAGAACAAGAAAAAGCGCATTTACCTGGTACTGTGGGTTCCAGTAGCTCCCAGTATTCATGTTTAGTCGGCTTTCTTGTGTAAACGGAACGTACTGTCCATAGCTTTGATATACCTGAGAAAAATTGCCAGAAGTGACAGATGAAACACTCCCACAAGAAGATTCTGATATATTTTTACACAGAGGATTATAAGAAATATCAGAAGAATTTTCAGCTTGGCGATAATGTATTGTAGATCCATGAATCGATTGCTGAACTGTATCTGAATTGAGTGTAAATGAACTGGAGTTAAGTGGTCCTATGAGATTACTTTGACTAGTGCATATATTCATTTTGCTGTAGTCCAATTCAGTGTTTATAGAAGTACAGCTTAAGGACTCAGGAATTTTTCTTGGATTTGATTTTGCATCATTAATAACCTGTTGATTTCTAGAAACGACTAACGAACTTTGAAGGTTTAGATTATTCTGAGGTAATGCGGCGCTTGCAGGTGCAAGTGATTCCCGACTCTGCTGGTTAATGGAATTTTCCAAAAATCCATTAGATACACCAGCTGACTGGCAAAAACTTGATAAACATGAAGAGGTGATGCAAGGGTTTATATTATTACTTGGGGATATGATAAGTGAAGGACCACACACATTACCTGACTGAGAACATACAGTCAGTAAACTGGACCCAGATATATTTCTGTCTATGAAACAATTTGAAATAGTGCTTGACAGAGTAGTCTGGTTGTTTGAGGTGGGTTGAACAGTTGAGTAACTATTAACTGTATTGACAGACAGATGGCCGCTCACAACCGGAGAGCCCTCCTGTAAATGGGGTGTGACAACATATGGGTAGGAAGTATTCGCGACAGAAATACAGCTGGACGAAATGGACGGGGTTGTGCAATCGTTTGTACTAGTAATTTCCTGTGAAACTTTTAATGTATCATTCTGACAGCAAACAACTCGCGGATCGGAAGTACTACAGTTAGTTCCAGTTGGTTTTAAATCTACAGAATATCGATGGATTGAATATGATGATGGTGAGGACGGATTAGGGGCCGATTGAGAAACAGGGAGAGGTACGTTCTGAAGTGTTTTATCACTACAGTTCTGAGAAGAATAAAACGGTTGAACAGACTGTTTTTCAGATACTAAGGCAGACGATTCTAAAGTTCTCAACTGCCCCTGTAAAAAGTTGATTTCTTGTTGAACAGTTGGGGAAGTGGATGACAAACGATACAGTTGAGACAAACGATCACAAATCCGAGTTGATTCCTCCTTGTATAAACTGACCTTTTGAGACTTACAATCTAAAGTGCTGACATATGATCCAGTTGCATCATTTTGTAAACTATGAGGTTGAATACTAGACTGAGTCTGGATGGCTTGATGAAAACCTGAGTCCTTACTTCCATTTAAATAACTCGAAGCACAACTTGATGAGTTGGATGTAAGAGTTTGATTAGTGGAAACACGGCAGGCAAACTGATTCACAGTTTGAGGATGTACTTCAGAAGTTCGTGAATGGGGTCGTGAAAAACGTGGATCACCTGGTCGCACACTGTAATTCGGTGAGGTGTAAGGTGAATTTTGGTCCCATGTGTACTCCGGACGGTCATATGGGGAACCACATCTTGGGGCGACTAATCGTTGTCGATTGTTACTGCAATCATATTGATATTCGGGATTAGGAAAGCCTAAAGGGGCACTTGTATACAATTTGGGATCATAACGAATCTGCTGCTGTTGCGGAATGTTAAATCTAGACTCGTAACCGTAATATCCTGGTGCCTGTTGCTGAAAATTATTGGTGAAGTTTGGATTGCTCTGGACGTTTTGGTGGACTGTATATGAGCAAGATCCTGGGTCGTTTAGGTCTTCCAGGAAGCTAGATGACTCGACACCGAATGATCGGTACTGATGTTCCATTCGAAAATAAGTTAAGTTCACAGAATATATCCCGTATGTCTGTTTTTAATGCGTATTATCTGTTGAATCATTGCTTGATCAGTGGAAGTTAGGATAATAGTTGCCATTTTCATTTCAATGACACCGCTTCCGAATGACCTATTGTAACCCTGAAAGGTTGAATAAAAGCAGCGAAATAGAACAACGAAGTTTATCAAATATTGGGTCCATAGAATCGTATGAACAAGATGTTATTTACTGTTTTTCAGTGATAAAGTAGACCTACGCTTATCAGATTGATGAAGTATGCATTATTCAAGGGTAATTCAAGACAATCATTCCTACCGTTTCAGTGCATTTATAACTCATGAAAACCAGTTAGTGATGAAATTTGTTCTGAGATGCATGCTCACTCCATCAATTTCGTACAGGCTAAATTGCAATCGTAAACACATTCCTGAGGTTATTCATATGTTATGAAGAGAGCAGTACGTCCCAATGCATATCGTCACATTATTCATCTTCTTGGTGCCTTTTAAATGAAGTTAGTCTAACCAAACTCTTTAATACAGAAAGGTCTATCGTCTAAAGACTCAATCACTACACTCAGCTGTATTCATGACAATCAGGTTCGCAACTTTCACTTTTCGATTGACCAAACTATTCCAAACCAAATACTTAACCAATGTGTCCTTCGTGGAAGAAAACATACTCATATGAATTTCCCGAACTTATAAGAGGGTTAAAAACTGTTTGTGGCATAAAGATTATGGGTTTGAAGATTAGGCACTGGTGCACTTTGGGGAAATTCGTGTTGACGACTCCATTTCGAATTTTTCCCTTGTATGTGAAGACAGTTCCCCAAAACTTTCTTAACATTATTGTTGAACGGACGACTAGTACAATAGAACCTGCATTAACTGATCGAGAAATATATTGTTCACAGCCTGCTGCCATGAAAAAATGTGAAGACATTTGCCAACGTCTTTCCTCGTATATTTCACGATACAGCAAATCATGGTAACTGTAGAGTCCGACCATCGGAATATTTGGGAATGTCGACAAATCATTTATAGAGCTCCAAAGACAAGAAGGAAAATATTCCATGCAGTCAGTTCCCTTTATGAATTTAAATAAAGCCAAAACAAATATTGATGCAGAATAATATAAATGCATAATATTTCGTGGTTCCTCGTCAGCTGCTTACAACCAAATATGTATTAGAATTTTACATAGAGATAAGAAATAGTATGAAACAGATGACATAAGTGAATGTAAAGGATTGGAATGACAAAAGTTATCAATTGTGAATATATATATATATATGCGAGAACAAGTCAGATGTTTTTAGTTGTTAGAAATAAGGTGATGGAGTTCAGAGACAGATAATATTAATTGTGGGATAATTGTAGAGGTATAAAAATATTTATGGAATTAAAAACTGATGAGTTACGTGATAATTGAAAAAAATTTAAAGAGTTCACATAATTTAAGAGTATCAAGTGGACGGAAATGTGTGAGTGAAAAGGTAGTTTAGAACCCGAAACTAAATATTAAGAAAACAATAACAAGAAAAAACAATAAATACAAACAAAATTGGATTACCAGGGTAGTAATAAGTTTATTACTCTCTTTTTGAATACATAAATCCGGTTTAAGTCTTTTCATCGCGATCGCTTCGGCAAAACGGAGAGCAGCCGTACTTCTTTGTCCGTTAATAATTTTAAAAGCATGAGAGATGTCATCGGTATACCCGGTGTCAAGTAAATCCCAAGCTATTGCACAGTTGAGAGCCCTAGTCCCTCGCTGCTGCAATTTTTTTTGGAACATGCACAGAAATGCGAACATGTACTCTTCTCTCGGTTTTTCCAAGGCATGTGCTTTGGCACGTACATGTAAATTGGTAAATGCAGTTGGAGTTACTAAAAAAAGGGGACTTGTCGATTTTAGTTTGCTTGAGTGAGCAGTTCCTTTCCCATACCGTCGTCAGTTTTGCTTCTAGTTAGGACATTTTCATCGCGAAATTTATGCTGTGATTAATTATTCCAGTAATTCCATCTCCTTTGAAGCGTAAGTATAAGAAACAAAGTTTTAATTTCCACTTTACCATACTTTACTTTATTTCGTCACCTACATTATCAGTTTTTAATTCCATAAATATTTTATTACCTCTACAATTATCGCACAATTTATATTATCCGTCTCTGAATTCCAACACCTTGATTCTAATACCAAAAACACCTGACTTCTTGCATACATATATTTATTTATACATTTACCATTGAAAATCTTTGTCTTTCCAAACATTTAATTCACTCATGTCAATTGTTTCATGCTATTAATTATCTCCACGTTAAGTTCTAACACATATTTCGCTATACGAAAGAAAATAGCCAGATAAGTAAAAACGGACTGCGTTGAGCTTCTAGCGATCTAATTTTATCAAGAGAACGCGATTGGTTTAATGGAAACAATTATTGTTATGACCAATTGTACCAGTGATTGTTTTACTGTACTTGCTTGTTTATCTGTACTAAGGACGTTCTTCCTTCCTGTTGATTGTGACCTTGCACGAATTCGGTTACGCTCAGTAACCACACTTGTACTCCCTTGGCAAGATCTCGGTATTCTTTCGATACCACGAGATCGCTAACAAATACACTTCGACTACAGCCATGAACTGCCTTCTGATATTTGACTTACGGAGGATCTTATTGATTAAATGGCACGTAGTCTTCCTGTAGTGGTGGTCATAGTCAACCGCGACTCGACCGCACAGCATGCTCAATACCGAAATACCCTAATTTATCGCGATCTCGCTGCTTATAACCTATATCACGTCTCATCATGTTACTTAGTACACTGAACCATGAGATGGCTCATCTTTCAAGTATTATGAAAATATCATTGGTCAACCTTCGCCTAATTTACCGTAAATTGGTAGATGTGGCGTAAAGACTGATAACCTATAGGCAATTGTTTAGTTTCGATATTCTATCCTGTAAACCTTTCCATTTGTTTGTGAAATCACTCAAAATTAAGAAAGGTAGTCACCACATGTAAACGCTTTCCGAACGTTGTATCTTTCGTGTAGCGTCAGTAAAGCAGAATTGATTGGAGTGAAGCCTATGAATATCATGGTAGATGGCGTGCTTTTCGATCAGTCACTGTGACACACTTGATCCTTTTCCTCTGAGATATGATGGCAGATAGAGCAATACCGCGTTTTTTAAGCTTGACCGACACGTCTTTTTGCCAGGGTTATCGTGCAAGAGGGTTTTAGAGGTTTGGACTGATCCAGCAACAACGTGCTAATAAAACGTATGTTGTTATGAATAATCATGTATGACATCTGTCTCACTGTTGCCTTAAGCGAAAATTGATCTGTTCACTTTTAGTCTAGTAATATAATTTAGCGTGGTCGTATATAATTACAAGATTACAGAAATTCTTTTGTTAACACGACTCTTCTATTCTGAGTACACGATCACGGAAATACAGTAAAAAACATATAGACGAGGAATGTGTCGTGTGGTAAGTCACACGTAAAATGAAAGTAAACTGAATCTGTGCATCAGCGCACTGGTTAATATTAGTTTACCTCATGTTGAATACAAATTAGAGTTTCAACTATTTTATTAGGTGAAAATTGGTATTATTCAAAAGGTATGCTCACTTAAGTCCTTCATCCTTTATGAAGGCAACGACTGCTGACCACAGATAGACAGTCAATCATTTCCAGGCTTCATCTTTCCATTCAGTGCAATAAATCGTCCATTTCTGTCCAATTCTAATTCCTGATGTAATGTGTCTTCTGTTCTGCCTCGGTTCTCTTACCACTGCGGATTCCAAGTTAGGTCTCACTTTGTGATACAGTTTGATAATTTCTGTAGTGTGTGCCATCTTCACTATAAGAGTCTTTTCTTTTCTTCTCACCTGGGAGCTGATTTGTTCTTCATCACAGTGAGCTAATGCTGGTGGTGTCTGACAAACGAATTCGGAGTAACTTTAATAAATATCTGTGATGTTTTTCTCCAAGAATCAGCACCACAAAGAACTGTTTTAAGTTTAAATTTAAGGTTTTGGCCTTAATGTTGTCAGACAGTCCTTTAAAGTGCAGATATTCGTCGTTTCTTTGACTGCTTTGCCAATTCGAGCCCACAAATATTCGCCAGTATATTCTTGTTTTCCAGTGCTGTTGTTGAAGTATTTGGAAACTCTTCCTCCGTCTAATTATTGCTCAGTCGTTGGTCATAGATTCAGAAGATTTTGCACTCCCTGTGAATCTTCAAGCCCATTGTATAACAAGAAACTGCTATACTGGTATACCTGATCTACTTTTTTTGCTGTGTACGTAATGGAACAGTAATCATATAAGTTTATATCGTCAACTGTATCCAAGGTATCAACTGCACTACGTGTTTTCCTGTGATGAGGTAGTCTTTACTGTAAAAAACCTTTGCAACAGAAAATATAAAATTCAGTCGACTGTAGACTAACATTAGTGATGTCCTATTTTTCACTGATTTTCGGCAAATTAGTTGTACTCAATCTTCAGAACTGCCGTTTTTAGTGTTATACCATGGAAATTTATGTTCCCGGAATAAAAATCGCAAAACAGTTAACCGTAGAAAGGCGAAAAACAAAAGTAGAGGTTTCGTGAAGGAAACTGTTACAAAAACGATTTTAACAATTTACTGAAAACTGAAAATTGACGAATACTATTAGACTACTCGTAATTTGAATATGGGTTTCCTCCATGTTTGCCTGGGGGCTGTAAGTGTTTCAATCTACCGTCATTCAAGAGTGGACCGTATTCAAATTTTAAATGCAGCTATGATAGTAATGCGATACCTATGCAGTCCCAAGCTTTACTAATGTTTGCCTCCCAGTATCTTGCTCAGACTTCATTCTTATCAGTTTTATATCAAATGTTCTTAATTCCAAATATTTCCAAAGAGACCATCGACTATCTTTGCAATGACCTCAATCTCTAGCGCTTGTGCTAAATATGCGGTGTTGTCTAATCCAGGGTCAGTGCACCTTCTGCTTTGCCTGATTTCCTTTTTGTTTATATGATGAGCACTGCTGGAAGGTACGAGTGCTGTTCTAAACACCAGTGACTATATTCTAGTCAAACGTTTTTCGGTGTGTTCAGTCCACTTGTTCAGCTACTCGTACTTACTTACACCTGTTACTCCTTGTCGAGGAACATAGGCCACCCACCAGAATTCTCCATCAAACCCTGTACTGGAAAATCCTTTCCAGTTGTTATTCATCCTCTCCACGTTTGCTTCTGGTTCCCGACACAGTGTGTTCTTCAGCTTTCCTCTTTTCTATTTCCCTTCAGGATCCCAAGTTGACGCTTGTCTCGTGATGCAGTTTGCTGATTTCCGTGATGTGTGTCCTATCCACTCCCAACGTCTTTTCCTCTTCAGTTGGAAGTTGGTTTATTCTCCCCCTCAGTAGCCTGTTGATGATGATATCCGACCGACGGACATTAAGTATCTTATGTAGACCAGTGTTTGTAAATTCTTGTGCCTTTTTGATGATGGTTGTGGTAGTTCTCCAATTTTCAGCTCCATACAGTGGAACTGTCTTGACGTTTGTATTGAAGATTCTGACTTTGATGTTGGTTGACAGTTGTTTTGAGTTCCATGCGTTCTTCAGTTGTAGGAATACCACCCTTACTTTACCAATCATTGTGTTTACAACTTCATCGGATCTTCCTTGTTCATCGATGATGCTGCCCAGGTACGTGGGAGTTTCCACTTCTTTCCATCAAGTGTGATTGAGTTAGTGTTCTCCGTGTTGTATTTGAGGATGTTGATTTATCCATTGTGTATGTTGAGGCCTATTGATGCAGAGGCTGTTGCTACACTAATGGTCTTCCACTGCGTTCGTTCGTGTGTATGGAATAGAAGGTATGATGCTCTTGATACTGATCAAAAGTTTATATTATTTATTCTTGACTCTCTGTCATATTTTCTGTACGTCAGTTACACTACTTAGTTCTGTTATATTACTTTCTGCGAGCACAAATAAGTTGAGCTCAGTTCTTCGTTTTTGTTCTCTTCAAGATAATACAATGAATTATATATATGGAATATTCTTTGCACTTGCCTTTTTTCTGTGGCTTTCGCTAGTTCTATATGTTGTTCTTTTTAGGCCTCAATTGTCTTCCTTACTTACTCGTTTGATCTTGCATATTTTGCTTGTATCTCGGCTTTTCGTGGTTGTTTGGGCTGCTATTTCTTTCTATTACCCTTCTCAAACTATGTACAGAAATTCATTTTTGGTCGGTGCGTATAGTGGTCCAGCACCTCGTGTCATACTGGGATCATTATTTTCTTTGCCCGTTTTAAATTGTTCTTCTCACTAGTTTTGAACTTTTCTAAGAGATCTTGTAAGAATTGGGGTATGTTGCGGGTAGCTATCTTGCTAGCATATCGAATATATCTATATCATCCGACGACATTCATAAGGAAGAAAACCACGACCAACTTGAGCAAAACCAACTACATTGATCGAGTCATTTTTCTCGAATACCATAGAATGAACATGGAGGACAACCCTTTTGCAATCATCTGTTGGAGACTATACACAGGAACAATGATACTGTTGAGGGCCAAACTATCTGATTCTAGTTCCGATTCTAAGATTATCTAAGTCTGGAGCTTCTGTTGTTAATGTTAGTTGCTCTCATTATCAAATGTTAGTCTATTGTGTGGGCTTGCTGCACCACCATCTCACCTTCCCTTTTGTCCATCTCTTTTCTAGCCCTTTACATGCTCGGCCAGTACGCATTACTACTTGCTGATTAAACGTGAAAGGCTACTAACATGTCTTCTTTCTACTAGTCCAGAGCAATGCGATGACTGTTCCTTCGAAAAATTAACATGAGGATAGTTATGGATTGCCCTCTCCCAATAAAGGCGGCAGAACAAATCCATACACTGAGAAAGACTGTCGTGCTTATTAACCGTACTCACACTATAACAATTTATAATCCTTCTCTTTTCACTCGCATGTTCTACCCCTTGTCTTTAGTATCGATTCGCTTATTTTCCTCAAAAAGTAATTTACACTCCACAATTTCTAAAATAAGCAGTCAAGTTTTACTACAGATGATTATCTCAGCTACTATAGGGCAAGTCACACATAAGGACATCCAAAAGATCTCAGTCCTCAGTGAAAAGTCCAACTCAATTAGTACTATAAGTAGAATTATAGTTAGGATAATCTTTCTGAAAGCAAACAATGAAATCAAGACACGACCATCGGGACCTTCAGCTTTATACCGAAAGCAACCAACCAGTGTAAAACTCTGCTGTCCTGCCGACTACATGAGATTGGAGAGAAATTATTATGTATAACGAAGCCTGAGTAGTCGTTTGAAAGATTGAAAACTGGCCAAGAATTTCAACTTCGGATTCACCACACCGAAACCAAGACCCATTCATGTAGATAATGCTGATTGTCCTATTGAGTGGCTTGACAGAAACAATAAAGCAAACCGACTGTTGCTCGAGATGTACAATTAAGAGTGCTAAGGAGAAGTTATAAAGGACTTTGTGAAACCTAGAACAATTATCCCCATTTCCACTCTGTGACTTATTAAGTAATCGGTTTATGTTAATCCTATGTTGCCCTGTTTATAAGTCTGTAACCTATCCCTTCCTGCAGCATTCTACGTGAACGTTTAGAAAGTAATATCTCACGAACATGACCAATCAAGTTATCACAAAACAGAGCACAACAGTGATTCCCACTGACATATTGAGGTTTAACTTTCTTTTAAAAGTTTTTACATGTATGCATAATTTAAATTAACCTTTTAAGTACTTCGTGAGCATTTAATACCTGAGAAACTTAAGACTACATTACATTGGAACTGATTCTACGGAACTACAATATCATCAAAATTTACTAATTAGGAATCCATGACGGTTAATTAATCGATCAAACGGTGCGTTGTTTTCGTCGGTAGTATAACACTGTCACAGTATTCCCAAGTTTTCTGGAGACCAATTATCTTTAAGAAAAACATCTGAACGAAATGAAGATTCAGTAAATTACTTTTATTCAAAGAAATATTTTGGTTTCTTTTCAATAAATAGAAGAAAAATCATTATTAAAAGTACAATCACAGTGCTGATGGAGGAAAAATTATAAGGATAAAAATATATAGTCGAATAAACTTAAGGATAAGTAGATAAATGTATACATGAACAAAACGGAGAACCATACTAAGTTCTTTAAATGATGGATGCTCCTGGTTTACGTTGAATATGCACATTTTTCATAACACACCAATTATTTAACAGGTCCGATTTAAGAAACTATAAAGCACACTTGTTAAGGAGTTTGAAACCTGGTGTCTGCATCAAGCATTATATATATATAGTCACTAGAAGAATTGTCTACTGCTATTAGATGGGATCATTAAAATTGACTGATTAGTTATATCTTTATTTGGATCAAACATTTCATTATCCATCAATACTTCTAGTTGCTCATTTAACAAAGTTGGTGAATAATCATAAATAGATGATGAATGTTCTGTACAACTGGTGTTTTCCTCTTTGTAGACATTAACATGTCTAGACGTTGCTAAAGACTGTCCATGAATAATATCCTGCACAGAATGTGGTAAAGAATCAGACACTTGTTCCAGCTGGCCTAACAAGGCTGTAGCACGAATTATAGAGTCTTCCAGTGGAATCTTCATGGATAGTTCATTCACATGCTAAATTTGTCACAAAAACATTTACGTAATATTAACTGCTTGATAACAAAAAGAAAACCAACATGTTCCATAAACTAGTACATTAGATGTAATTATAAATGAATTGCTTATAAAAAAGGCATCACTTCATATGGAAGATAATAGTTTGTGAGGCTACAACGGCTGACTGAATTTCATTCATTCATATATATATATATATATATATATATATATATATATATATATATATATATATATATATATATATATAATTTGAGCATTGTATACAACGTAATACTTTATACTTCTATGGTGCATTTATATATCATTACGGAATCAACATGTCGAACGTTTTTCTAACTACGTCAACTCTTTTACCGTGAAATATAATTTCTGGTGATTTATTTTTATGAAATAAACTAACCTTTAATATACTGTTTGCATCATATTTTCTATTCATGATATTATCTCTTTGAGTCAAAAGTATGGCGGCAGCGAAAAAGATATGGAAATTCTTAGTCCGATAATCTGTCCAAAACGCCTAGAGAAAGCATTACACCAAAAACGATAACACTATTAATACAGAATGGAAAGTCATGAACGGGTTTGACACTTGTCATTAGCAAAACTCACTGGTAAATATAAGCATATCAAGGAAACGTGAGACTTCAATTTAATTTCACATTAACTGGTTACAAAGTAGTAACCAATGTTATGCTTATCTAACTCATAACGCTGATCGAATTCTATTAATCAAGTTGAATTCTGATTACTAGTCTTCATGAATGGTCAGGAAACCATAAACCTAGGTTTTATTCTAAGCTAGAACTAGTCGACGTAAATTGCTAGCAATCTTGAGGGAATCGACACGGCAATTGCTATAAATCATTGACCAACCAGTGTAAACATCTCAGTTTTACAGGATATCAGTCGAAGCCCGAATCGTTCAATAGCAACGTCTCATATTATGAAACTGGATGATCCAAACTTGAATTTCACACAGGACACAAGTTCCGGATTGCAGGTACTACTTGGTAACAAGTATAAACTAGCGCGAAACATAAGCTCACAGTTTTATGTCAAGTACCTGATATTGAAATCGCCTTCATAATGAAAACCTGATTAAACTACTCTGTGTACATCAACTGAGAGAATGAAAATATGAGTATCTAGGATAGTATACTAGACGTAAAAACAAAACTGGTATAATGGAGAGGGTAGTATGGAAATATAGCTCTTGGAACTATTGTACGAGAGACAATTTTTACACTTTTATTGTACAATTAATAGACGCTTGAACTGTAAAAATTTTTTATTCTCCTATTTTTAAAATTTTGTTTAACCCATAAATCGCTGTCATATACGTTATCGTTCCAGATTTACCATTAATTAATTATTTACTTATTACTCCGGTTTATAAGCAAACAGTGTAATTACCTAATTGTGTTGCTGTGTCGTCAGGTATATTGTATAGATTCTGAGTCATGACAGAATGAATTACAATGGAGGACTGATCTTCCTACCTACGTCTTCTGATTGGACACTAGGTTAGAAGGATCTCGAAGAGTAGTAAGCTTTAAGGTCTCGGTGGTTCCTAATTGGTCGATGTCTAAATTGGTAAACAGTTCACCGATCATACTGGCAATATAAGCTAAATAATCGATAGTCGAACTAGAGGGGAAGAGAGCATAAAACTGCTCTGTTATTATTAAAACTTGGTCACACGAGACCTCAATAGATCTCAACCATCCACTTGCATGTTTTTTCTGTTATGCCAAAATATCTTCAAGGTTTTCCATATTTTATTATTTCATTGGTTTCATTTTGTTTTTTTTTTCTTCGGTTCTCCACAGCCATTGATGGGTTTACATTTTTAGATGTTTAAGTTGATTTCCTCTGTGTTAATATAAAGTATGGTCAAGACAAGCCAACGCAAAATTTTCTTAAAATCCTACGACATTTAGCATGTCACAATCATGTGAGGATATAGAGAAATAACAAATAACTAATAAGTGATTGTAGGTGGTATACTCTACCTGTAGCTCATCCAGGGCTACTGCCAGTCCCGAGCTCGGGTAAAGGAGGGTTGGGCATGGGGTCGGCAACCCCACCCCGTAGAAAACAACCTAGTTAAAAAACGCCAACCAGATTGTAGGTGTTTGTATACCAATTAAAATAGATTTTAAAACACTGATTAAAGTAAATAAACACGTTTTAGTAAATAATATAATCATCAATAACAAATGAAGAATTAGAAAAATAGCGAAACGTTTTCGAAATTATTAGTGTATAACTTAAGTAATTACAAGAAAAATAACCAGTTTAGAAAATTAACAAAAATAAACGAACAACTTATACATGAATTTGAAGAAACTATTGAATTAAAAAATTAAAACAATTATTAACATATGATTAATTTAACATACCTCCCATAAAGTCATAGTATCTTTGTATGAGAATTCTCGTTTGAAATGAATTAACAACCAGCGGAAGCAAAACGGCATTTCTTTGGCACTTTTCGATTCTGTAAACATTTATTGTAGAAATTTTAGTAAAAATAAGATGCGAATCGGTTACCAGTTTACGTAAATGAACAAAATCAAAGTATAAAAATAATACAAAATTTTATATGATATGAAATGATAGTATCCTTCTGAACATCTTCAAAGTAAGTTTTCTATGTACTAGATGAAAACTCGTAAGTTCAGAATTATTTAAAATGAGATGTAATTTAACAACTAGAAGTGGATTACATCGAGGAAGCCATCTTCTTATAAAATTGTATTAACTTTGTTAAGTTAATGATTCATGGAATGTCAGCTATAATACATTCAAGTCAGTAGCAAATTGTTAGCTAGCGCTACAATGTGTAAATCATAACGATTTCTAAACACGTACTGACAATAAGATCAAGTATTAATGTTCTACTACATTTTACTACAAGCAAAAAATTAATCTTCGAAGGCTTACCTATATCGGTCAAATCAAGTATTGAAATTTATTTAGATTAAATGTGGTTACATTAACTAAGATAATTAAACGTATGATATGCTAACAGCTAAATGGATTTACAATAATCTCAAACATTTAGATATAGTGAATAAACTCAAGTTTGCACAATAAAAGTGATAGCGCATTAAACTGTCAACTGTCAGTTAGATTTCTTGAAGATTCACAAGAAAGAAAACTATACTTTTTTGGCAACACAAGTGTGACATAAAAATAAACATACTGAAGAAGATGAAGACTTTGTAAAATCCTAAAACACCGTATTATCCAACACAAATATGCTACATAATCGTCTTTGTCATTTCTTTAATATTTACAGTCATTCTGCTTCAAAATAGTAATCGAAATTATATATATATATATATATATATATATATATATATAGAGAGAGAGAGAGAGAGAGAGAGAGAGAAACTATTGCTCAAGCGGTTTTGCATAAATTATTCTCTGCTTTAAGGTACGTTTTTAAAAGTAATAAAAACAGGGAAACCATCCAGTTTCATGTTACATATATATAGCAGTTTCAAAAAAGTATTTAGTCATCTATTTTAAGTAATGAACGAACATACGACAAACTGTTACCTATTGTTAGAAAAGTCTATTATTGATTAGTCTATAAAGTTATTGATAGACAAGAAAGAATTGAAGTAATGGACCGATAGATTTGATCACCATTGAAAACCTGGTCTAACATTGGTCGATTCATGGTTTCAATCAAATTTAAAAATCCCCACAGTCTCAAACTAACACTTTGAGGAACTCTTGAATATACTAGCTCCATTGAATCCACCGAGTATCGGAGCAGAGCACGCAGACCTTCGAACAGATGTTACTCCACCAAAGATCGAAGAATCAGGATGACCACCACATAAATCGAGAGAGAGACCTGACAATATACAAACAAAAGCACTGAAGTCAGACATAGAAGTAACTGAAAACATGCTCCAAATTCTATTCAGGAAGATTTGGGAGGAAGAACAAGTGCCAACTACAAACTGAATAGAACGGCACCTCATCAAGATACCGAAGAAAGGAGATCTGAGCAAGTGTAAGAACTACAGAGGCATCACACTAATATCAGTACCAGGAAAGGTTCTCAACAGTGTTGACGAATCGGATGAAAGACTCAGTAAACGCCCAACTTCGATATCAACAGTTAGCATTGGTCGTACACAGACCAAATCAAGGCGCTACGGATAATTGTTGAACGAGCAGTTAAGCGGAACTCGTCACTACACACCAACTTCCTTGATTATGAGAAAGCATTTGGCAGTGTGGATAGGAGAATTTTATGGAAAATTCTTCGACACTATAGAGTACTCAAGAAAATCGTCAAAAGCATCCGGAATATATACGACGGAAAATTGTCATAAGTCTTGCGTAGAGGACAGCTGACAGATACATTCCAAGTGAAAATCGAAGTTAGACAAGGCTGCTTACTCTCCTCCTTTCTCTTTCATCTGGTGGCCAACTGAATTATGAAGACCTTCACATTTGAAGGGAAGCGCGGAATACAATGGACAGCTTCGACACACCTAGATGACTTGGACTTCGTAGGTGATCTAATCGTTCTATCTTATACACACGAACAAACGCAGTGGAAGACCATTAGTGTAGCAACAGCCTCTGCATCAATAGGCCTCAACATACACAATGGATAAATCAACATCCTCAAATACAACACGGAGAACACTAACTCAATCACACTTGATGGAAAGAAGTGGAAACTCCCACGTACCTGGGCAGCATCATCGATGAACAAGGAAGATCCGATGAAGTTGTAAACACAATGATTGGTAAAGTAAGGGTGGTATTCCTACAACTGAAGAACGCATGGAACTCAAAACAACTGTCAACCAACATCAAAGTCAGAATCTTCAATACAAACGTCAAGACAGTTCCACTGTATGGAGCTGAAAATTGGAGAACTACCACAACCATCATCAAAAAGGCACAAGAATTTACGAACACTGGTCTACATAAGATACTTAATGTCCGTCGGTCGGATATCATCATCAACAGGCTACTGAGGGGGAGAATAAACCAACTTCCAACTGAAGAGGAAAAGACGTTGGGAGTGGATAGGACACACATCACGGAAATCAGCAAACTGCATCACGAGACAAGCGTCAACTTGGGATCCTGAAGGGAAATAGAAAAGAGGAAAGCTGAAGAACACACTGTGTCGGGAACCAGAAGCAAACGTGGAGAGGATGAATAACAACTGGAAAGGATTTTCCAGTACAGGGTTTGATGGAGAATTCTGGTGGGTGGCCTATGTTCCTCGACAAGGAGTAACAGGTGTAAGTTATTACACACCCAAACTGAAATTTAACAGATGTGGTCAACTCCGTAGACCTAACATTTAGGAAGGGAGAGAAAACAGTTCATAGAGAATACTTATAAAGGAAATCGAGATGACTAATGTTTAGCATATGTGCCTTTGAGGCATTGCTAGTGTTTATTGAAACCAAAAACTGAGGAATGTGGAGATTAGGAGTAGGATACTGGGTAAATATGCTACATCATTTGATGAGGTTTTTGCCGACTGAGGTGGTTGGGTGAAGTATTATGCATATTCAATCACTGCTTACCTACATTAGTGATGATAGCTATTATGGGAGTAGGTTGGGAAAAAGCTATAGGTGGCCAAACTAAAAAATGACATAAGTCCATGAAGCCATTAGCTGTTTAACTGAGGTGTTTTGGTAGATGCAAATAACCTGGTCAAAGTCAGCACGGTAGTTTTATTTAGTGGTTAAAAGAGTTAGGTAGTATGCCTTAGAAGTTATCTCAATGGTGGAGTTATATTTACTGTGTTTTTCCTCAGATACAAAGTTTTTCTTTATTTTAAATTTTCCTATTCCATGAATTCGCATTTCCCGAATCGTATTTTCTATGCTTAATCTTTTCAATTACCGCCAATACTGTTACTGCTCTAGATTGCCGTTGCGTTATTGGGGTGTGGCAATTTGAACCAATGTACATGCATGCCAGCTTTCACGTCACGCATGACTGACTGACTGTTTAGGATTTTCGGTATTCTTAGATAATAAAACAAAAAAAAAACACCCAGTTGTTGTTATAAAAGAAGAAAACCATACGAAACATTATGCTATAGATATTTCAGGTAGGTTTACGAATTACTAGTAGAATTACATATATGTATCAAAAATGCGATGGGTATGTGAGGGCATACAGTCAGTAGATAATTACCATCTAAAGATAGATACACGTTCCTTTTCTAAATTTTGGTTGTACATATTATTTTATTTATAAGTTATGTTTCCTGGAATATTTTATCCTGATGTTAATAAACTTGTCATTAATTTAATAAAAATTACCAAGATATTCACTGAAAGTTGGATCAACTATTTCAATCAGTGAAAATAATTGATTAAATTGTTCTCTGACTGCATTGAGTTCACCATTGAAATTAGATTCCTATAATAAAGAAACAGAAAAGTTTCTAATAGAACATATATATATATATATATATATATATATATATATATATATATATATATATATATATATATATATATATATATATATTAGTTTTATCATCACATATTCGATAAGCAAACACTCAACATATTAACAATAAATGAATAAAATGTTAAAGAACAAATATTAGACTGTCATCTGGTAGAAAACTCTCTTGCTTGGAGATAGGTAGCTACTTATGACTATTAAAAATATTTAGAAAACTTTTTATTTAATAATTATAATTTGACTATATATTAAACAGAAGTATATTGTTATACTGTACAACTGATTGGGAGCACTTCTTACTGCAACAACGTTTATGGCGCAGGTGCATCCACTTTTTGTGTTCTCCCAAATTTTTCGTGTCCCTTTTTTATCTTTCCAAATTTATTTCACTGGATTATACACCTTGAATAACATCTTCAAACCCTAATAATTGCGATGACTGCTTATACTCTTACCACCTCTACCACTATGTATTTGAATCGACAACTGCATCTCTGTGCTAATGTGGTATGGCAACTAGAATTGATGTACGTACGTACGAAGTTCTACGTTGTTACTGACTGACTGACTGAACAACATTTATAGTACTGAATAACATTATTGTTATTAATATCATTATTAATAACATACAAAAGGGCAAAATAAAGATAACATTCTCCTACAAATTAAACAAATATGACTAGAGTAGAAGAGAAGTAAAATTACAAGAGAAAATAATCGATAAAGAAATGAACAGAGAATGTGGAAATATGAAATGCTCATTAATTATTGATTTATTTGTTTGATATTGTAATATATGTAAAAATCAAGAAAGTCTATTATTATTATTATTATCATTATTTAAACACATAAACATTGGTACAAAGAGGCACCAAATACATATGCGCCACATAAATCGTTCGATTTGCGTGAGGGGCTGGGATACTTCACGGGTGCCCGAACCGAAGTAGGTGGTTTTTTAGAGGGGCCACACCCGGAGCCTCCGACCTAAAGGTCTGATCCATAAGGCAGTGGGGCAACGACAGGAGATGCAGTCACTTGGTAGCCGGTCACCAACAATTGGTTCATACGCCATTTGTTTCTCTAGGGTTCTGGAGCACATGTGCACCATTGCTTTGCAACCAGGGTTTTCAAGCTTCTCTATGTGGATTGCCCGTATTCACCAACCCGATTAAAGCGCCGGACATTCGCTTTTTGTCCTCGACTTCGTAAACAACAGCCCCACCGCGAGAAGGTAGTGAGTAGGACTTCCCTGACAATGGTTGTATACACGTAGTCGTGTGAGAGCATTTCGAGAGGGAGAGCTGACTCTCCCCACTCTCGGCTGTACCAGGGCGATTTGAGGCCATAAGACTTAGTATAAGATGCCTGTTGCTAGTGTATACACAAGACTACTACTAACACTTAATTTACATTACGTCACATTCTTCTGTTTTGAGTGATTTTCTTTATTTCGTCTAGTTTGTAGCTCATCCGAAATCTCCATTCGAATCGGCCAAAAACTAGATTTTCCGAAAATCAGCATTGTGAATTTTTTTTAAATTTCCAACTGCAACATTAAATTAGACATTATGAATCTTACACACTGAATGGCTGATTCTCGAAGACACTCAAAAACAGTCTATAAATATTCATGCTTTTCGATATACCAAAGTCAGTTGTGGCGGGAATAAACCTTCGAACTGATCGTTTGTTTTTGCATTAGTTAGATGAAAATCTAAGCTTTTGGATAATGCGATAAGAAGATGAAGGTTATCAGAATTATGTGATATATTTGCAAAATGAATTTTGAAAAATGCGATCACGGCTATACCTGTCAAGACTTTATATGTGAAAAATAAAAGTTGAACTAGACTGAAATCCCCTATATGTGTTCAAAAACAATTTGTTCTTACTCTTAACCTATATCACTGATTTATTATCCAGCGTCGCTTTTCACATTACTTGTGTACTTTATTATTATTATTATCTTTGCTTCCTTTATCTTTTAATTTATCAAGTTGACCTTTCATTGTTCATATATAATATCGTAACAAGTATATGTGTAGTCACTGCTCGAAATGCATTGCGCAAACATACCACATAATCTTGATAACTTGCATCTCCTCACTATATTATCCAAGCTCATCAAGAGGACTAATTGTTTCAAATTTTGGAAATCTAAGCATTAAAAAAATTAACGCTTTCCCAATGCTTCTGAGAGAATCACTAGGCTAAACATTCAAGAAAGTTGAATGGATATACAAACATTGATGTACGTTTGTAATTCTGGATCATTTATATATATATATATATATATATATATATATATATATATCAAAAACTTACTAGTCTATTCATTAAACCAACAAAACACCAAAAAGAATCTTCTTCATCTTTAATAACATAAAGTATTAATGCGAGTAAATCATTCATTCCTTGAAAGTAACCTGAAGCACAAACATAAATACAAAAAAGAAATATGATTGAAATAGGCGGTTATGAGAACAGATTCAAAATGTTTAACAATAATCAAGAAGTGTTTTAGATTACTGTTAAGTCAGTCAGTCAGTAACAACGTAGAACTTCGTACGTACGTACATCAGTTCCAGTTGCCATATCACACTAGCACAGAGATTACTGTTAAAACGGCATCTCTTAGACATATCCAAGAAAAAAAACTGTCTACATTTTCATTATCAATGTACACGATTTTTAATTGTAAGAATGCATCTTTAAAAGAATTGAGGATATTTATAATTATTCTCCCTTTTCATTTTAGTCAGTATTTCATCAGCATAAAACTTTCAAGTGATGTTTTAAAAATTATTTTTAATCAGAACACAAAATGAATTGTCAGAGCAATTTTCTCGAAACTATAATCTATTCCATCTTATTGATAATTCGCTTGATTTTATTTTCACTTTTGTTTGGTTGACGTAAATCAAGAGACTAGGGAAGTGTGACCAAAGAAGTAGGTCATTAGGATAAAACCAACTATTAAAAAAACAAAGTAATCATGCAAATAAACAATTAATCAATGAAAAGTCTAGATATTGGTTGACGACTAAATGCAATCGGTAGGAAGTCCTATGTTTCATTAGGAAGACTTGTTTGCAACTACAAGATAACTAATGTTGTTTGAAGATCTGAACTCGCATCATTTTCTGGTGTCAATCAATGGCGTTATCATTGAAATATTCTGGTTGTGATTGACATACAGTAAGATCGAAATATTTACACCAATCAGACATTGAGTAGCAGTTGTCTAATTCAATGTTTATAAAATTCGTTCGAACTGTTTAACTAATAATTCCCAACTGCTAATTCATTTTGCTCATTCAACTTCAAACAAAAATGAACAGTGAACTGAAGTCGGTTTATTTAGTTGTAAAGGTTTCTCGAGATAAAATTTAATCAATATCAAATACTGGACAATAATACATTAGTTAATGACTGATTAATATAGACCTCGATAATATATGCAGTAGTTCAGTTGTGTCATTTAATGACTTTAAAGGTTTGTACATTATCTCTACAACAACTGAATTGGATATGTGCAGTTTTAAGGAAAGCAATGTCGATAATAATAAAATAAATGTTTAAGACAGCTAATCCATTAAGCTACTATTGATATAAATGGAAAACAAGTAAAAACAGTCTGTGGAGGTGTGTACAGAACTTGGCATAATTAGCAAGATCATAGATTAAAATAAACAAATATGACTTTTTTTTGTGAAAAAATGATTTGTTAAATTACACTGTGTTATTGTTTGCACACTTGTTTATCATTCTAAAGTGGATAACTATATTTCATTTTGTCTTAGGAGTGGAGCTCGAATTAAGAAGAATTGAATGCCAATTTACGCACCGATCATTACTGGAAGTTTTGTTGATTCACTGAAGACCGGTGGTGAATGATTTGTGGACAAAAACTTACAGAGTAGAGAAACAGTAACTGTTCGGACTGTTCTCGTGTAAAATCGCTACATTTATAAATGGCAGGATTTCATATTATTTAAATGTTTGATGAAGTGCAAATATACTTTACTTAAAAAAAACAATGATTGAAAGTTTGACATTGATGACTTCAAATATCTATTCTAAGATCCTGGAGACGCCGATATATCCTTAAGGCCTAATAAACGATCTCAAATCAACATAAAATCGATACCTTTCTCAATCAGTTAGTAACTTTGACATATTCAGTTATAAATTAGATAAAGTCTGCATTTAATACAATTAATCACAGAATAATAAATCAGTGAATATAAACAGTCAATTTCAAGTTATGTAATTAGCTCTCACCAAAATCCATATTATATATAGTATACGTGATAAGTATATCTGAAAGACGTGTCAAATTTCCATGACTATCATCCGAGTAGAAATCAGTTTTTCGATCAGTACGTGGAACGTCTTTATCTAATTATGTTGGTGTATAACAAAACAAAAAGAATATGTATCAGTTAAGTGTCGAGAAAAACGAAATGTTTTATACACGAAAAAAGAAACAAGAACAAATGCAGTCAACAATAAATACTGATTGGATAAGAAGCTTCTCCATGCTTTCAGACTTTTTTTTGGCTTTTCTCGAGTTTTCTGGGTCTCCCTAACAATATCGTAGTGTTCATAGATCACGTTACAATAGCAGAATCATGCCCAACAGTGTTTTAAATTATTCGGAAATATTAAACAACAAAAGGAAATTGCGTAATGATCTAACGGTTAGTGAAAATATCAAGATGCGCACTTCTGAGGAGTCCCACAATAGGACGAAAAGGCCGTCCCGTGTTTTCAGGTTTTTAATGGTAGTCTAACATCATTAGGTTCAAGATCTCAATCTAAAACTTAATAATCTCCACAACCCTATAGTGATACTTAATTTTCAGCCAATAAACCGTTCATCAAAGCTACATTTGATTTGGTTAATGACGATTAGTGTTATGTTTGTAAATTTTTGTGTCTGGGGTCTTCCTGCTTATACTTGACAATGGGGAACCACTGTAATTTCCATAATGTGAAGCAAAAGCACAAAAACTGATACAGATGAAGGCTTATGGACTCTCTAAAACGAGACCCTTAAACAGGTTGTCCGAAACTGTTCTCGTTAAACCAAATACACTCATTTACATACTGATTTTACCATTCGCTTGTTGATTATTCGATAAACATCATATGAATGAAACGATACAGAGTTACTACAAAACACAGAAAAAGTTAACTGACGGTAATACAAAGAATATACATGTCATACTGGGCAAAATTCCACACATATCATACTAATACAAACATATTAACCAGAAATGATGCTACACTGGAAAAGACGGCTAGGATATTACACTGCAAATAAACCTTATGTCATAAAATGTTATATCAAGTTAGAAAAACGTGAACTCGCCTTTTCATTCGGATTTATTGGTTAGTATTATTGACCATTATACAATATGCATACAATCACACATGGTCATTACTATTATTATTTAACGGTTAATGGAATTCAAATTAAACCCTCTACGTCATTTTCACCTAAAAGTACCCGACGCGGTGGACGGGCTTACCTATCGTGATGACTCTACCGAGCTATATTGGCTGGAACATATGTTCCTGTAGGTTCTACCATGCCAGGCAGGTCGATTAAAGAACCGTAGGACTAAAAGTAGCAAATCAAAGTCTGAGGGCGATGTCGTACTGCTGACTGTAGAGGGGTGTGACAGCAGTAAGGTGTTTCCTTCGGACAACCAGCATCTGCAGCGATGGTGCCTTCTCACAAGGAGGGGTGGGGTTAGAAAAGGTCGACCCTAAAAATGTCACACCTCACCTTACCCCACGGATTTCCGTCTCCGGCGGTAAGGCCCTTTGAAGAATGGAGCTAACACATTAAAAACCTTCCACAAAAAGGCCGTGCGCGACCGGCCTCAGGCAGTTGTCCCTTGGGCTCTGCAGTCACGCTCCCAGGTCGTTAAGGCCAACATTAATCCAACTTCCTTTTCAGGTTCCTCAAGAAATACCCTTCCACGGTGTGGGCAACCGGGAAGTGACATCAGCCCTCATACCCGTAACAGCGTAAAGTATCAAGTTGGTCACATTCAAATCCCTCATACACCTCCTAATACCTCTCATATCTCCATGACTAACCCTTCTCACGTCCCTTTATCACCTCGCACCGCTAGGGCAAACGATTCGAGTACGTGGAACGCCATTCCTGGTCTCCTGAAACCACGCTCTAAACTACACGTAGGAGCTTTTAACGTACGAACACTTTGCCAAATAGGACAACGGGCTTCCTTATCTAAGACTTTAGAATCTCGCGCCATCGATGTGTGCTGCGTCTCCGAAACGCGCATACAGGATCCAAGTAGCGTCATTCATTTGACCTCACCATGCCAAAATAAAGAACCGACTCGATTCACACTTCGTGTATCTGGGAGCCCAGATGTTGCTTTTCGTGAATTTGCCGGCGTAGGTATAGCATTGAGTCCTAGGGCAGAACTAGCTCTCTTAGACTGGATCCCAGTAGACAGTCGTTTGTGCGCTGTCCGACTGAACGGAACAGTAAGAATCCGGAAAGATAGGGACACTCGTCGTTGCCTCTTCGTCGTCTCTGCCTATTCTCCCACTGACTGCAGTGCAGATGATGTAAAAGATGAGTTTTACAGAAAGCTTTCGGACCTTCTCCGAAAAGCTAAGCGCTCGGATGTAGTAATAGTGGCCGGTGACTTTAATGCTCAAGTAGGTAAACTTAGCGATAGAGAAAGACACCTAGGTGGATCTTATGGTGTCGTGGCTCAAAGAACAGATAATGGCGACCGTCTGTTGCAGCTATGCTCAGATAACCGCCTGTTCCTTGCAAATACTAACTTTAAGCATAAGGAAAAACATCTTTTAACATGGCGACCGCGTAATTCGTCCCAACGTTGGACCCAAATAGATCACATCGCTATCAGCCACCGATGGAGGTGCTCGATAGAAGACTGTCGCTCATTCTGGAGCACATGCCTAGATTCAGATCATGCTCTAGTGCGGGCGCGTATTTGCTTGCGTCTTACTGGACGGAGTGATGCCCACCCCGAGGCAGCGTGGAATGACACCCGAAAAGCTGTGGAAACAGCAGTGATATCTGCTAGTAAGGTAAACCATAAGGTTAGGGAGCAACACTGGATCTCAGCAGCATCTATCGCACTGATAGATGCTCGGAAACTCATTCCACCTGGCTCTGAACATAATGAAGAGCGGAGTCAGCTTAAGCGCAAGCTGACAAGAAGTCTACGCAATGATCGCGAACAGTGGTGGGTAGCGAAAGCAAGAGAGATGGAAAAGGCAGCGGCAATAGGTAATAGCAGACAATTGTTCAGACTCGTTAAGGAAACCGGAATTAGGAACCCGACCGTTAGCGAAACAATCTCAGAGAAAGATGGACATATTATTCATTCTCAATCCAGGAGATTGGATCGATGGGCAGAACACTTTAGGGATCAGTTCAACTGGCCTTCAGCCACACTTCGGTTTCCCACGATCTCTAGTCAACCTGAATGGCAAGTTAATGTAGGTCCTCCGTCTCTTTACGAAGTTGAAAAAGCCATAGGAAATCTGAAACGAGGGAGAGCAGCAGGCCCTGACAGGTTTACTCCTGAGATTTTTAAGGATGGTGGTCCAGTATTAGCAATGAGATTAACTGAGGTCTTAGGTAGAATTTGGGAACTGGACGTAATCCCATCTGACTGGTCTCAATCACTGATTGTGCCAGTCTATAAGAAAGGACAAAAGTCCTCTTGTGACAATCACAGAGGAATCAGTTTGACTAATATAGTGTCTAAAATATTAGCTTCAATAATACTTCGACGCCTAATCAAAGCTCGTGAAGAGCAGACTAGAGAAAACCAGGCTGGTTTTCGACCTGGACGTGGTTGTATAGATCAGATATTCACACTACGTCAGGTTCTAGAACACAGACACACATTCAGACGCCCCACAATGGTAGTATTTCTCGACCTTAAGGCGGCATTCGACTCTGTTGATCGTGAGGTTCTATGGCAGTGTTTGTCACTGAAAGGAGTACCAAAGAAGTACATTAACCTTATAAAGGCTCTCTACTCGAACACAACTGGTAGAGTGAGAGCTTATGGCGAACTGTCATCAGAATTGATTACCTCAAGTGGTGTTCGTCAGGGCTGTCCACTCTCCCCATTCTTGTTCAACTTTGTCGACGTACTTTTAGAGATAACACTCTCCTCATCTAAATTTACAGGGGTTGAACTTCTACCGGGAGGTTCACTTGTTGACTTAGAATATGCTGATGACATAGTTTTATTTGGTGAAGACGCTGACAAAATGCAGAGTCTTCTGACCACTCTAAGCAACAATGCAAGCATGTTCGGGATGCGATTCTCCCCCTCGAAATGCAAAATGTTGCTTCAGGATTGGGTTACATCGACACCCGAACTAGTGATAGGGAGTGAAGTAGTTGAGTGTGTCGACCGCTTCACTTATCTTGGAAGTCTCATCAGCCCTTGTGGTTGGTGTGTGACGAAATCTCAGCACGGATACAGAAGGCTCGACTAGCTTTTGCCAACTTGCGTCATTTATGGCGTAGGCGAGATATCCGTCTATCAACCAAAGGACGGTTTACTGCGCAGCAGTTCGTTCCGTCCTACTTTATGGCAGTGAAACATGGCCGGTAAGAGTAGAGGATATCGTAGGTTACTAGTATTTGATCATAGGTGTCTTCGAAACATTGCTCGTATATCATGGGACCATCGAGTAAGTAACACAGTTGTTAGGAAACGGGTACTAGGTAAGGATGGCAAATCAATTGATGAAGTAGTGAAACTTCATCAGTTGAGATGGCTGGGACACGTGTTACGTATGCCCAACGACCGACTGCCTCGACGTGCTATGTTCAGTGGTATAGGAGTAGGTTGGAAGAAAGCTAGGGGCGGCCAAACCAAAACATGGCACAAGTCCATGAAGTCACTGACAAGTGGACTGAGTCATGTTGGTAGGTGTAAACTACCCGGTTGGGGTTTGCGAGACCCTGAATGACATGGCTCAAAATCGTTTGCAATGGCGCAGGTGCATCCACTCTTTGTGTTCTTCCAAATTCTAATCTTCTGAATTCTTCATGTCTTTTATTTTCTTTCCAAATTTACTTCACTGTATTATACTCCTTGAATAACATCTTCGAACCCTAATGTTTCCGATTACTACTTATACTTTCACTACCTCTACTACTACGGGATTTGAATCGATAACTGTATTTCTGTGCTAATGTGATGTGGCAACTGGAACTGATGTACGTACGTACGAAGTTCTACGTTGTTACTGACTGACGGACTGACAGAGATGAAGACACTTATGAAAGAAAGTAAAGAAGAAAAGAATGCATGTCGAGATCATAGTAAAATGAGAGGTTGAACATATTGCCAAATGTGACTTAAGTTGGTAAAAGCCTAGTGAGATTTCTAAATTCATAAAGAGATTTCACCAGACATCAACTAACCAGTGCTGGTACGACTCCAAAGGTCAGTGTATCAGTCATCGTATTAAACCACTTCACTCTCTATGATCAGTTTAAGCTTTAAAGCAGATCAGTCCTGAGGTAACATTTTGCATTTAGGAGTGAAGCATACTCTAATTATACTTGGATTAATACTAAGCGCGTTTGAACTTAACTGAAGCATATATTTGTTATTTTATAATAATGAAAATACATTGTGTCAGTTTATGAAATTCACAAGAACTATTCGGACGCACAGACATCTGAGGAATATCATCCTATCGATGGCAATCGAATCAGGTTTTGATGAATTGGCTTCCAGTTGCTTTCAACTACCCAGTTTCAACGAGATACCATCCCTGTTTTAATTTAAAATAGTTGATAGATGATCAAAATCTCAACCTGAATCCTTGCAAATGGTTTTAGATTTTTTGCCAGATAACGGATCAACTACAACACATTTATTAGCATGCCTATTAGGACCCCATTATTAGAATGATTAGGAATTGTATCAGCAGTTGAAGAAGAAACGTATTCGATTCATTCAACAACCAAAAAAGAATTTTGTGTAGGCAGTTTTGTTTACTGAAAAGGTATCAATCAAAGGTAATATATTCACTGGCGATCAACTGATTTCAATGATTTAATCTTTTTAAATTCATATTTTTATCATCATAATAAAGATATTAATTAGAAAAGAATAATATTTCTGATCACAGACCCATACTTTTTGATAGCATTCAAAGGAAACAGCATGAAACAATGGTGACTGTTAGAAAAAGAAATGAACAGTACTGAAATGCCAAATTTTTGCTAGTTAGATTCCGAAAATTCATACATAATTTATGATGAATGGTCACTTTTGAGTATTGAGTAATGTAAGGGGAAGTCAAATGCACAGGATAAATCAAGTGACATCTAAAAATAATTAACTTTCTCCAAGGGAAGCGAAACATTTGCTTACTTGATAAACATTACAATCGGAAAATGAAGTTATTAGTAATCTCTGTTACGTTATTTAGATGAACGAAAGAAAATAACAATAAGGGACTTACCAATAAAACATTTACGATCACGAAACAATGCAAACCTAGCTTCTCGATCAGAGGACATTGACTTCCAAAATGTCTTCAAGATGTGGTATTCACGACTGAAAAAAAGAAACGTAAAACACTGGAGAATGTGGTTTATTGTATAATGAAGTTATCTGCACTTGTCTATTTTGATTAAGAAGCCAGATGAAGGTTAATCAATGACGCTTTCTAGGTATAAAGATCAAGTTTAAGTCTTCTGATAACCATGGTTTCCATTTAGGTCACATAGGGAACAATTTTGCTCGTAAAATACAGTTTTACTTCCATGACGAGCTACGAGCAAAACGAAATAGGCTTCGAGTATTTTAATCACCACTATTATCTAAATGACAATGACAGAGCGTCATCCGTTAGGCTATGCAAATCATTGTGTATTTAAGGAATGTTCTATATAATTTCAGATGAAAGTTTGACCTGATGATTTCAAATAAACCTGTCATAGGGTACTGTTAGTAATAAAATAATGACAGCTATGATATCCAAACGAGTAAAAATTGAGTTTCTGACGTTTTATGGCGCAGTGTAAGTCGCTTCTTCAAAGAACACAAAAATAATTGAATAAATAGTACAAAGGAACAAAGCAGAATATTTGGCATAACTGAAACACAAATCTGATAAAGTTTATGCCGAGTCATTGTGGCCAAGGTGATGTGAAACATGCTGGTGTATTCATGTATACATTCATGGGTATTATCTAAAACTTGTCTTGAATCAGTTATTTATTTATTCTATGAAGAAGCAACTTACACTGAGCAGTGAAACGTCAGATATTCAATTTCCCACACATTAGGATGTAGTGTCAGCTATTATGCTAAGCCCATATACCTTATTCTAGCTTTCGGACATCCCATTTTATTCATTCTACTTGGGTCATATTCTGACCTTGTCAATCTATCCGCTTATCAGTCTTGACTGTTTTTATATGAGCGTATATGTGTGTGCCCTTCTTATTCCATTAATCACATGTCTGTAGCTTTATTTTGTCTGCCTATAAATATTGAGTAACGCTTGATTAAAATGGAGTTGGCTTCCCAGCCATCTTCCATACGTGTCATTTTGCTTTGCTATGTTTCATTCGCTTCATGTACGAAATATGTGTATTCTCAAGTCAATTCTCGTTATTCGACTTATTTAATTCCGTTATTGGATAACGCGATTTAAGTCGACGATGATATACGAGAATAGGCGATAACAATCATTCGTACGCTCTAAATGGAGTCGGAAACTACGGGCCCCCACTAAAAGGATATTGAAAATATATCAATATTGATTGAAGGGGTTCGCATTTTTCAATTATTAATACCCACGTTTGTTATGCGATATGGGCTTATTTATTTATTTATTTGAACACATAAATATTGGTACAAGGGGGCAACAAATATATATGCGTCACACAAAACAATGAGAATGGGATGAGAAAAAAAAGAAGGTAAGGAGCGTTATTGCTACCTTGACGTGGCGATCGAGTTTGCTTATCGTGATGAAGCAACCGAGCTATATTGGCTGCAACAACCGTTCCTCAAGGTCCTAGCATGTCAGACAGGTTGGTTGGAGAGCGGTAAGACTAAAAGCAACAAACCCAAGGTCCGAAGGCGAAGTCGTACTGTGGTGCGTGCTACTTATATTGATATAAGTAGTATATAACGTGAGTTAAAAGAACGTAACGTCTGGCAGCAGAAGATGGAGAAGATCAAGAAAACAATGGAATTTGTAAGAAATCGCATGAACAATGAAATGTGAGACAATGGATTGAGGTTTGCAACAGCAACAGTCCGGTTTGATATGATGGAATGATATTTTGCAAATTAACCATTTACTATATGGTTTTTCTATTTTACCAAGTAATTCTGTAATTTGTGATGAATACAATCTGGTTGTCGTCACCCGTGTTTTCCTTCACTACAGTACTACTGACTGTACAGAGGTGTGACAGCAGTAAAATGTTTCCTTCAACATAACAGCAATGCTGCCTCCCCACAAGAAGAGGTGGGGTTAGAAAAGGTCGACCCTAAAAATGCACACCTCACCTGACCCCACAGATATCTGTCTCCAGCGGTAAGGTTTCAACAAGTACGGAGCTAACACAAAAATACTCACAAAAAGGTCGTCTGTGACCGACCTCAAGCACTTGTTCCTTGGGCACTGCGGTCACGCTCTCAGGTCACTAAACCACCTCTAATCCAATTTGCTTTTCAGGTACCTCCAGAACAACCCTTCCATGGTGTGAGCAACCGGGAAATGATAACCGCTTTCATACCTCTAACAGCACTCAAGACCACTGTACTCATAATCAATCTCCCCTTCAATTCCTACTACTCCTCCTACATCGACTTTCAACTCTAAACTTCCTCTTTCGGCTTCCTTCTCAAGTGTCACCATAGCCAACGATTCTAGTGCTCAAAACACTGTCCCAGGTCTACTGAAACCTCCCTCCAAACTACACATTGGAGCCTTCAACATATTCACCCTATGTCAAATCGGTCAGCAGGCTTCCTTGGCTAAAACCCTAGAATCTCGTACCATTAATGTATGCTGTGTCTCCGAAACAGGCATACAGAATACTAGTGTGGTTATTCACTTGACCTCACCTCGGCAAAACGGAGAGCCAACAAGATACACCCTCCGTGTATCTGGTGACCCGATGGCCAGCTCTCATGGACTGGCATGCGTAGGCATAGCACTAAGCATGAGGGCCGAACAAGCACTGTTAGAGTGGATCCCCGTCAACAGTCGTCTATGTGCTGTTCGGCTAAACGGCTCCGTAAGAACTCGGAAGGATAGGGACACACGTCGTTGCCTTTTCGTCGTTTCTGCCTACGCTCCCACTGACTGCAGTCAGTCAGTAACAACGTAGAACTTCGTACGTACGTACATCAGTTCCAGTTGCCACATCACATTAGCACAGAAATACAGTTATCGATTCAAATCCCGTAGTAGTAGAGGTAGTGAAAGTATAAGTAGTAATCGGAAACATTAGGGTTCGAAGATGTTATTCAAGGAGTATAATACAGTGAAGTAAATTTGGAAAGAAAATAAAAGACATGAAGAATTCAGAAGATTAGAATTTGGAAGAACACAAAGAGTGGATACACCTGCGCCATTGCAAACGATTTTGAGCCATGTCATTCAGGGTCTCGCAAACCCCAACCGGGTAGTTTACACCTACCAACATGGCTCAGTCCACTTGTCAGTGACTTCATGGACTTGTGCCATGTTTTGGTCTGGCCGCCCCTAGCTTTCTTCCAACCTACTCCTATACCACTGAACATAGCACGTCGAGGCAGTCGGTCGTTGGGCATACGTAACACGTGTCCAAGCCATCTCAACTGATGAAGTTTCACTACTTCATCAATTGATTTGCCATCCTTACCTAGTACCCGTTTCCTAACAACTGTGTTACTTACTCGATGGTCCCATGATATACGAGCAATGTTTCGAAGACACCTATGATCAAATACTAGTAACCTACGATATCCTCTACTCTTACCGGCCATGTTTCACTGCCATAAAGTAGGACGGAACGAACTGCTGCGCAGTAAACCCGTCCTTTGGTTGATAGACGGATATCTCGCCTACGCCATAAATGACGCAAGTTGGCAAAAGCTAGTCGAGCCTTCTGTATCCGTGCTGAGATTTCGTCACACACCAACCACAAGGGCTGATGAGACTTCCAAGATAAGTGAAGCGGTCGACACACTCAACTACTTCACTCCCTATCACTAGTTCGGGTGTCGATGTAACCCAATCCTGAAGCAACATTTTGCATTTCGAGGGGGAGAATCGCATCCCGAACATGCTTGCATTGTTGCTTAGAGTGGTCAGAAGACTCTGCATTTTGTCAGCGTCTTCACCAAATAAAACTATGTCATCAGCATATTCTAAGTCAACAAGTGAACCTCCCGGTAGAAGTTCAACCCCTGTAAATTTAGATGAGGAGAGTGTTATCTCTAAAAGTACGTCAAGACAAAGTTGAACAAGAATGGGGAGAGTGGACAGCCCTGACGAACACCACTTGAGGTAATCAATTCTGATGACAGTTCGCCATAAGCTCTCACTCTACCAGTTGTGTTCGAGTAGAGAGCCTTTATAAGGTTAATGTACTTCTTTGGTACTCCTTTCAGTGACAAACACTGCCATAGAACCTCACGATCAACAGAGTCGAATGCCGCCTTAAGGTCGAGAAATACTACCATTGTGGGGCGTCTGAATGTGTGTCTGTGTTCTAGAACCTGACGTAGTGTGAATATCTGATCTATACAACCACGTCCAGGTCGAAAACCAGCCTGGTTTTCTCTAGTCTGCTCTTCACGAGCTTTGATTAGGCGTCGAAGTATTATTGAAGCTAATATTTTAGACACTATATTAGTCAAACTGATTCCTCTGTGATTGTCACAAGAGGACTTTTGTCCTTTCTTATAGACTGGCACAATCAGTGATTGAGACCAGTCAGATGGGATTACGTCCAGTTCCCAAATTCTACCTAAGACCTCAGTTAATCTCATTGCTAATACTGGACCACCATCCTTAAAAATCTCAGGAGTAAACCTGTCAGGGCCTGCTGCTCTCCCTCGTTTCAGATTTCCTATGGCTTTTTCAACTTCGTAAAGAGACGGAGGACCTACATTAACTTGCCATTCAGGTTGACTAGAGATCGTGGGAAACCGAAGTGTGGCTGAAGGCCAGTTGAACTGATCCCTAAAGTGTTCTGCCCATCGATCCAATCTCCTGGATTGAGAATGAATAATATGTCCATCTTTCTCTGAGATTGTTTCGCTAACGGTCGGGTTCCTAATTCCGGTTTCCTTAACGAGTCTGAACAATTGTCTGCTATTACCTATTGCCGCTGCCTTTTCCATCTCTCTTGCTTTCGCTACCCACCACTGTTCGCGATCATTGCGTAGACTTCTTGTCAGCTTGCGCTTAAGCTGACTCCGCTCTTCATTATGTTCAGAGCCATATGGAATGAGTTTCCGAGCATCTATCAGTGCGATAGATGCTGCTGAGATCCAGTGTTTCTCCCTAACCTTATGGTTTGCCGTACTAGCAGACATCACTG